ACGGTTGTTAAGTCGAGCACTACCTGTACATGGGGAAATTCTGATTCTGCTCTGTCAGATGCTAGTCCTGTTTGAGTTGTGAAGTGAGCAAGGTCCACCCTGCTCTGCCCTTGAGACCAGGGTCAGGGCTTCCCCTCCTACGTTGGACCTCAAGCAGGCAGAATGCTGAAAGCTTCTCAATCCATTGAGCTAATTAATTCTAATATGCTTCCAGTACAAAGTACAGGAGAATCTGCCTAATTTTCTCTCTCTCTCCCTCTCCCTCTTTCTCTTTGCTAATCATCAAATTCAGTAATCCTCATCATAAACTCTCTAATCTTGCCCCATTTCTCAGTTAAACTAAGCTCTTAATCTCTGGAGAAGCCTCGAAATACGGAGAGGGATGGTGAGAGAGACAAGTGCCTCTCGCAGACCGTCCTTTCCCAAATGCTCCTCGAACTTCCAATTTTCTGGGGATTCTGGGAGTTGAAGTTCACGCATCTTACAGTTGCCAAAGTTGGAAAACACTGATTTACATTAAAAACTTGCATCGGTTTTACTGTACTGCTGCCCTCTTGAAAACATAGTTGAGAGTTAAGAAGAAGAAAACTGGATGTCATTTGCAAGCATCTTCCCCAACGTATGTTGTACTGCAGAGTTGGGGGGGTTTCACCCCACCACCCCAACAGGAATCCTGGACTGCAATATTTGAGCATGACGGGGAGTGGGAGGAATTAAATCCAAGGACAGTCTAAACTGTCCAGGTTTAGACTGACTTTAACCTTAATCAAATTTAATTTTTTGCCCAGCCTCAGCCATTGGGACGCCATATCTTATCCTGAGAGATTTACGTATGGTCTGCAGAGCGTGGACTCTGCTCCCAAACTCTCACACACCAAATCTTCTGACAGAAAGGAAGGACCCTTGCAATTTTCAGCACAGTCGTGTATGGTGGCCCATCAAAGACCTCACAAACTGCCCATTTTACCACCTACAAGAAGCACCGGAGAAACTCCTGTAGCTCCCCCACCTCTCTTATGCTTCAGATTTGTCCCTTGCTTGCTCTCCTTTGGACGTCCAGGGCCCAAGGAAGGATGAAACTCACACTGTGTGGACAACAAGGGATTAAAGGACACCTCACACACCTCTTGACATAGATTTGCAACTGTCTTCACAGATGGATGTGTTAGAGCTTCACACAGGGTTGAAAAGAGAGCAGCTCCCACATCTGGATGCTGTGAGTTGGGACTGCAACTCCTAGGATTGGCAGCCAAAGTGGAGAAAGTCTATGCTGGCTAGGATTCTGGAGAATCATCATCCCAACATGCCAAGCATCCTGGCCTTCGCCCACCATCCATTTCAGAAAAAGAGGCTTAAAAAAATGGAGAAAGTACAGGCAGACCTCGACTTACAACAGTTCACTTAGTGGCCATTCAAAGTTACAATGGCACTGAAAAAAGATGAGCATTTTTCATACTGACGACCGTTGCAGCATCCCCTTGGTCATGTGTTCAGAATTTGGATGCTTGGCAACTGGCTCATCTTTATGACGATGGCAAAGTCCTAAAGTCATGTGGCCTCCTTTTAGGACGGTCTGACAAGCAATCAATGGGGAAGCCAGATTCACCGAACAACCGAGTTACTAACTTAACAACTGCAGCGATTCACAACAACTGGGGCAAGAAAGGTCATAAAATGGGACAAACTCACTTAACAACTGTCTCAGTTGTTAGCCACAGAAACTTTGGACTCAGTTGTGATTGTAAGTGTACTGCTGCTGTCCGGCAAAAATGCTTACTTAAGGCACATCCTTTCAGTATGACTGCGAGTTAGGCGCTCTCCAAGGTCCTGAGACATCAAAAGGATTTAAAGGAGAAAAAAGCAAATACTGTGACAAGCCTGTTGTGAAAAGCTCACATTGATGGACATTCAGCTGAAGTTGCTTTAAATATTCTGGCTCAGTTCATCTGAATCACTTGCATCAGCCTGACTCAATTACTACAGCCTTGTTTTATCATTTCCAGGAGTGGGGCTCTTTTGGTATTGTTCTGCCAGCTATGCTTGAATTTCCAAATATAAAGCAGCTAAAATAGAGATTGTGAAGACACATGAACTGCTTGAAGGCTTTTAAAAAAATAAAAATAAAATAAAACAAACTGTAATTCTGAAGCCTATAAATGGAGACCCACTCTCCTTCACTTCCTCTCTTATTGTTTGGGCTTCTGCAAAGATTTGTGTCCTGGAAATATGAAAAGTGACTTTGGGTTGATATAGGCCCACTTTTAAAGATAGAAATGGCACTTTCGGAAATGCCTAGACACAAGGAGGAAGGAGGGAGGGAGGGGGTCACAAAGTCAACCTTTTATCTACACACAAGCAAGTGGGCCTCCAAAACCATCCTGTTTTCTCCTGAAGAGTCAGTGGGAGGATGGGATATTATGTACAAGCTTCACACAGAATGGGCTTGAATGAAAATAAATATTATAAGATCCAGAAGTTGGATGGGTTGTCCCTGGAAAAGAGGGGGACAGTGGGGGGGAGGGGAGGCCTGAGCTGTGTTACACTGATGCCCCAGAAAGAACCTACAACTGGGATTTCTCCTATGCATTTTCAGGAGAGTAATCCATGTTGTTTCTGAAACCAACTCAAACACAGCATCTGTGAAAAGGCTGGGTACGGGGGCATATGGTAGCACTGCAATGAATGCCCAAAACATTGGGGATTGCTGTGTGGGAATTCCAAGATAAAACCTCCTGACCGTGAGGTTTTCCCACATTCACTGGGGAACACAGAGCAAGTTAAGGGACATTGTGGAGCTTCAGTCCCTCATGGTTTGACCATAAAGTGAAGGCCTCTGGATGGGGTTTGCTGGTAGGTCTATCTCCTAGACCAGGGGTCTTCAAACTTGGCCCTTTTAAGACTTGTGGACGTCAACTCCCAGAATTCCTCAGCCAGACACACAGCTCAGGCTGAGGAATTCTGGGAGCTGAAGTCCACAAATCATAAAAGGACCAAGTTTGAAGACCCCTGTCCTAGACTTTTGGGTTAAGACACAGCAGCTGGAGAGCCATTACACCCTAGTGTAATGCAATTACCCCTCGTACATCTGGAATGCTTTTTTCCAGAGGTAGGAGATTTGCTAAGTCACTGTCAGGAGGCCTAGGGAAGAGGCTCTGACCAAGAGAGATTTCACGCTCTGTGGGAACTCTCTGGCACTTTCCAACAATTCAAATGGGTTGTTTTTCCTTGTTACCATCATGAAAATAAACAAAAGAAATGAGGAAAGATGAGAACTTGAATGGGACGTATATTTGAGGGTTCTGTGCAGCCCCCTTTCCGGGATGACCACCAATGGGATCAGAACCACTCCATACCCTAAATGTTCTCCACAAACTAGCTCTCCGTGGGGTTGGGTAGAATTTTCCCAAATCCCCAGAGTCAATTTTCACCATCAGTCTGAGGTTTGTTTCTCCGATTCTTTCTGGGTCTAAAGCAGGCTGCCCCGTCGAGGTCAGGGAAGCTCTGCACATTTCTCTCTTCTTTGGTTGAATATATGCATTTTTTTCTCAGGTTTCATTGGGGATTGCAGCACTGCAGTACTGTACCATCGTGCCTGCATGGCTTCTGCGTAAAGGCATGGGTAGGCCAAGAACACTTTCGACCCACCTGCCTTCTTCTACACAGGAACTAAGATTCCTAAGCCTGGCAACCCACCGGGCGGAAAGAAATCCCAGACATTGCACTCCCAACATTCCTTCAGGGCACCAGATCAGGAAGGGCAGTTTTAGAGGATTCACCCTGAGATATTAAATGCAGATTGAGCTTCAGCCCTGACTTCAGAGAAACCTGGGCACTGAGAATGAAGGTTTCTGGAGGGAGAAGGGGATAACATAAGCCAGGTAAATACAGCAAAAGACAGAGAGTGTATCCCATTCGGCTTCCCTCCCTTGCTTCATTCCAAGTGGTTCACAAAACGGATTCCCAGACCAAGCGACCTGCCTTGTAAAAATCAAATAAAGTTTGCTCCGTTCCTGCCCTCCCCTCTTCGCTTCCATTCTATTTCACAGAAATAAATTTTTCCTTTGGCCTTCCCTTTCCTGATCTCTTTCCTTGGGGCCTTTGAAAAGCGGAGAATGTATTCGATGCTCTAAAGCAGGCGTGCCAGAGAGAGAGGGAGGCAGAGAGGAAAAGGAAGATTTGTGTTTTAGAGGCAGATACACGACATTAAGACCAAGACATAAAGACACCCCCCCCCCCTTTCCTCCAGGGATGTAGTAAGTAGGCCTGGCGCCTGCACACCGAAAGGTTAGCAAAGGAAACAGCCACTTAACCGGAGATGGAGTGATTCAGGCCATTCCAGAGGAAAGCTGCTGTGTGTGAGACCTTAATCTTACATTATACCTCATGGTTTTCTCTCTTCCATTTGCTAATTTTGCTTCCACTTAGTCCACATCTCCACCTTCCTTCTGCAATAACCCCCGAAGCTTCTCCCCGAAACCAAGAAACAGCTGTCCCTGTCAGCCTCTGGGTGCTCCACAGACATCCAGCCACACATTCGCATCTAGAAGAATCTTCTGTGAATTGCAACCAGTTATCAAATTAACTGCAGACCCACGGAGTAGAGCGCCAGACTTGGAGGGAAATTAAAAAAAGAGTTTGCAATACAGTTTGACCCTGGAGAGAAATGTCTGACCAAGGCAGGGGTCTTTTAGGGCACGATTTTACCCCTCCACCCCATTCTCATCGTATCCTGTAAGGTTAGTAGTGTGATGAATGGGGGCCTAGCCTTTCTTTCATAAATGGCTGTTTCATGAGGTAGATGCTGAACAGGAGGAACAAAACACGGCAGACACCCAGATCTGGTCCACAGAGAGGTTTTTCCTGAGCAAATCTCGTAATATTAAACAGACGTCACCTATCCCTTGGGGGGATTTTATACCAGCCCTTTCCAAAATGCCCCAGACTCACAGTAGCAAGGGAAGCCTGCCATTTTTCTGATTGCAATTCCTCTCCATGCGACCTCCTTTCCCACCTCCCTCCCAGGATCCTGGAGCCTTTAGAACCTGGAAGAGGAACCCTTTGCACAGGCACACACACATACACATACACACCCCAAAAGCCCTTCACCTGCCCATCTTGTTTATATGCCTAATCAGTCCTGGGCTAGGTGGAGAGACAGAGATTCTCTTAGCTGAACGAGGAAGGCTCCGAGCCCGGCTCCAGCCTGCAAACCCGGCTTGGAAAAAGGCCTTCCTTTCAACCAGCAAGATTTAATTCCGGCGCCGGCTGAACTTCAAGGACCGGACCCGGGCAGCAACGCAGGGCAGGGCCGGAGACCGCGTTTCACATCCCCACCGAGCAGGTGGATCTAAAAGGGCGACGTGGTGCGCTTCGAGCCGGGAGAAGAAGGTGGGGAAGCCGCCGCCGCCGCTTACCTCCATCCGAGTAGGTCTCCGTCCCGTAGCCGTCCTGCAGTCCGTTGCTCCAGGTGCCTTCGTACCTGGCCCCGTTGCCGGTGCACTCGCGCACTCCGTAGCGTCCCTTAAACCCGTGAGTCCATTCGCCTCGGTACACCCACTTCCCTTTGCTCTCCACGCCGATGCCGTGGCGCTTCCCTTGCGCCCAGGTGCCCTGATAGGTGTTCCCGCTGGGCCAGGTGTAGACGCCCAGCACTTCGAAGCCGTGACTCCAGGAGCCCGCATACTCGCCTTGCCCCTTCGGGCCGGTGCAGATGCCGTGGCCGTGAGCCTTGCCGTCCTCCCAACCGCCACAGTAGGACCCTCCATCGTCAAAATTAAACCTTCCCCCACTGGACATGCATGTAACGCAGTTCGCAAATTCTCAAAAAGGGGGGGGCGGGGGGGAGGCGAAAGTCGGGGCAACAAAAAAAAACAAAAATACAAAAAACGCCCCCTTAAACGCTGCACCAAACGCCGAGAGCCGCCGAGGGAGCCGGGCTTGGCCGCTGGCACATCCTCTCCAAAGGCGGGAGGGGGGCGAGCGGTTCCGGATCCGTCCCCTCCTGCCTCGCTGCCGGGGGGAAGAGAGCCCTCCTGGGCGCGCGGAACAGCGAGGGGGCCGCTCCGGGCCGGGCCGGGGGGGGCGCCGCTGGGGGTCCTTGCGAGCCGCCCCGGGCAGCAGCCAGAGAGGGGAGGGGGCGCGGGCCAAGGCCAGCGGCCAACATAGGAGGAGGAGGAGGAGGAGGAGGACGGGGGGGGGGGGCGGGCGACCAGGAGAAAGCAACGCCACCGACCAGACAAAGGGTCTCACAGCCCCCCCGGCGCCTTCCACCTGCTGCTGCAGCTGGGCTGGCACAAGGGCTCCGCGGGTCCTGGGCAAAGCAGCATCTTGCCCGCGGCGGGCTCGCGAGAGAGCCGCCGGGTCAGCAGCAATGCAGTGGCTGTGACCGCCTCGATCTCACGCGCTCTCTCGCCGCCGCCCCCCCCCTCTCTCTCACACACACACACACACACACACTTACACACACACCCGCTCTCTCTCGCTCTCGGCCCCCCAAAGGACCGTTTTCATCCTCTCCCCACGCCTCCCCCGGCCGCCCCTCCCTGCTGCGACTCGACGCTCACTCGCTTCGGCTCCGGCTGGCTGGCAGGCAGCGCTCCCCCATGCCGGCGCTCAGAGCTGCCCTTTGGGGAGGGGGCCCCGGCTCCAGGCGGGCGGCAGGAGGAAGAGAGGCGGGAGGCGGAAGACCGGAGGGGGGGGAGGACGGGGCTCCTTTGCTGGAGCTCCGAGCGGGGAGGGGCGAGGAGCTCCGAGCGGGGAGGGGCGAGGAGCGCCTCGCATCGTTCCAGGCTTCGCCTTCGCCCGCGCCCAGGACCCCCGACTCGCTTGGGTCCCCTCGCCCCACTAGATGGACGGAGGCTTATTAAGGGGAAGGGAGCCCAGCATCTCGGTCTCTCGCCCCCCCCCTCCCCGTCTCGGCTCCAGCTTCTTGCATTTAAAGGTACAGCAACTGCAGAAGGTAGAGTCCTCCCCCTCCCCCTCCCTCCCTCCCACAACACAGATCTCGGCCGCTCGTCCCTTCCCTTCCTTGGAGACAGAGGGCTCAAAAACCTCCAGACAGCTCCATCAGGCCGAAGGGATACGATGCCCAGGGAGATTTTTTTAAAAAATCGTTATTTTTAAGTTTAAAGAACTAGAAAGGGTGGAATCTATCAGCTTGCAGCAGGCTGGCGTTTCTAAGAGGAAAGTGCCATAGGGAGCAGGAGATGAATGCTTACATCTACAGCACATCCTGCTTCCTAAGTGGCTTTGACTTTAGAGAACAAGAAGAGAGCCTGCTTAGGACTGCAGTCTTAACGTAAGTGCTGAGGATGGCTTTTTCTTTTTTTATTCCTTTTTTGGTCTCCCACCAATTCTGGAAGATGTTTAGTATTAAGTCTCCACATTAAAAAAAAAAGAGAGAGAGATAGAGAGAGAAAGCAGCAACATCGATTTAGTATCAATTAAAACTATAGCCCGGCTAATGCTCCAGCAATTTGCTCCAGCTTTCCACACTGGGGGGAGGGGAAGGAGTGTTAAGGCTATGGAAACAACCCACCCTGCAAAATCTGAAGATTGTAAAGATCTAAACTGGTCTGCAGCTGAGAAATCAAAACAGGTTCTCTTCAAGCATCTTGGCACTACAACTCTCGGTGGTCACCCCGTCTGGGAATTTTGGGAAAGGTAGTTCCAACCCAGCCCATCCACTCTGTGAGGAAATAGATTTTAAGAGATTTGTGCGCACCCACCCACCCACCAATCAATCAATCCATCAGTCTTCTTAGCAATGACAATGCTGTCATTCAAATAAAGTAAAAAGGACCTGGGTGGGCATTTCTAGATGACCCCCCATGAAAGTGGCCATTTTAAACATTCTGATATTATAGCAAAAAAGGGGCTGGTTTGTCTCCTGCTTCTGTCTCACCAGCAGTTGGTTAGTGTAAAATTAAGTCCTTTTTCATTCTTAAAATAATGTTCTGGAGCATAGGGGTTTAAATCTCCTCTGTAAATAAAGAATATTTGCTGAATCAAGGCTACTAAGCAAAATGCTTGGCGGAAGAGTGATTTTGAAGGGATCAAAACACCGGGCAGCTTTTATGAAACGTTTCTGACTGAGGAACAACTTTCTAGGGTTTGAGCTTCTTTCTTGAGTAAACCCTTCTATACTCTGCCTGCTATTTATGAGAGTTTTGGTTTCTAGCAAACGCTAGAATTGGATGCTTCTTCTGATACAGGCCATATTGAGCTGGGAAGGCATCTTCAGTGCTTGTTCATCCTTCCCAACCAGATTTTTAAAAAGTGTCTCTACCTATGTGAGTGTACACAAGGAACTGGGGGTCTGTTCACCCAACGTGATACCCAGCTGAAGAAAAGAGAAATCTTTAAGTGATGGAGCTCATCCAGAAAACTGGGTCTACCTTAGGGGTCAAGGCTAACTTTGTTCTCTTTCAGGAACAACGCGGGTTAAGGCCAGCACTGCCCTGGAGGACCCCAACTTCAGAACTGCTCACCAGCATCTCCAGATATTGCTGGGGAAGATGTCCACTTGAACCTTGGAAGGCCTGAGAGCTTCCTCTCTCTGCTGTAATTTTCATACGGCTTAGACATGAACTGAAGCCTAGACCATCTGAAGAAAAGTAAGTTTAGGGAAGTCTTTCCTGTCTTCTGATATAACTGCTAGGATGACATCTACTGTAGGAGGAGAGCAGGCAGAGCTGGGTGTGGAGTCAAAACAGTGATCAGCCTGGAGTACTTACATTCCCACAAATGGTCTGTCCAACCCCTCTTGAATTTCATTGGCTTTTATCTAGCACCAATTTAGTGCTGTTAGTTGACTAGGTTCTTGTGTAGCAGCATGACAACAAACTAACTGAACGGAGTCTAATGTGTTGTTTTGATCCTTCATGTCTGACATTTACAGTTAATATAGGTTTCAGTTGCTCGAAGTTTAAAGGTAAACCATTATGAAGCATATTACTGTTTTCAAAGAATGCATTGTTATGAGCTGAACCTGTACTTTGCTCTGTCTCCAGGCAGAGTCAGACAACTTTCCCTCAAAAAAGTCAAAATTCATTCATATTTCCAGACTAAATTTCACATGTATCTCTGAGGCTCTCTCAGTCAAGGCAGAAGGAGTTAGTGGCCTCATTGCATTCTTAGAAAAGAAACATGACTTTCTGATTCTTCCAGTAGTTTAGCTTTTAATAGACAATACCATCCAAATCTGCTTCTCTTTTTACACCTGTTGCTCACACAGCCAATGGAGTAATATTGCTGCTAGAAGATAAACAATGTTCCTGAAAACCTTTCTGGTTTCCATCTGTGGGAAGTGCAGATAGTCTTAAGAGCATCTCTGTTCGCTGATGATGGGTGCACACTTTCTCAGGCTAAGAAAGTCAGCAGATGATGAACTGAAAAGTGAAATTCTGGCACATTTTTGACTCTGGAGCCATTTTGCTAAAACCTTTAGTAAGAGCCCCAAACTGCTTTCTACTTATCCTTGACAACTGCATGCTCTTTACATGCTTTGTAGTGCACAGATAGATGATGTGGAGCCATCTCACAAGGGCCTGTCATGCAAAGATTCAAGCTTTTAATCTTCTTGCTATCTGCATAAGTGCAGCAAATTAGCAAAGGGGCTTTGCTGGCCACTAGCTGTATCTCAGTAGATCTTGGTAGAATTTATCCTCCCAATCACTGCAAATCTGATCTTCCTTAGCCAGATAAAATTCCAGCCTAGTTTTCAAAGTGAAATCAAGAAACTCAACAGCAGAGAGCTGATCCTGATCAGAAAAAACACAAAGGCTAGTAAACTTTATCAAGTCCCGGAGATCTTACTGCTTCCAGGAGAAAAAAGAGTGCAAGTCACCCATGAAGCTACTGCTGGCTCTCAAACCAAGTCCAGAAAAAACAAACCAGAGCTGCCAATGCTCCATCTCCTAAAAAGGAATAAACTCCTAAGTCGGATTTTCCACAAAAGGAAGTCGGATGGGAAAAAAACCCCTCAATATTCCTTGATAAAATCATTTGTTCAGTGGCAAACTCTGCTGCTTAGATGAATCAGCCTCCTGTTAGTGTAGATTAAATGAATTATCTCATACTGTATAGAAAACTTTCCAAATGCCATCAGAAGTAACACCATTACTTCTCTCATGGATGCTTCATCATTTGAGATGTTTAACTGCAGGCCTAGCTAGGAGTTAGGATCCATGAAAACAATACAGGTGTCCAGACAGACTCTTCCCTTATTCTTCATGCTTTTAAGAGCCATGCCTACAATAGAGGTGTTTCAAAAGGGATGGGCTTGCTACAAACATGGCGTGAGTCGTTCTCACATTGCTGGTAGGTCACAGGGAATGTGAGAAGGGAGCAGAGGCAATAGAGGTTGGGTTTCACCCAGATTTATCTTCTTAGCAAGAAGGGGTTTTCCTATCTTCTTTTATGTCCATAGACACAGACTTAACCTTCTTAGAGCATGGGAGTCCAACCTTGGCAACTTTAAGATGTGTGGTCTTTAACTCCCAGAATTCCCCATGGCCTGCTGGGGAATTCTGGGAATTGTACTCTACATATCTTAAAGTTGCCAAGTTGAAAAACCCTGAAATAGACTATGAAATATTTGACATAATGTTCCTGTGGGAAACTGAATCTGAACTCAAGACATTTTTGAGTTGAAGAATAAAACGTGAGGTTCTTCACAAAATATATTGTGGTCGGGCCCCTGTTTAAGGCCTTCCTTGGGTGCACAGTAAACAGAAGGAGCTGCCATCCAACAGAGGGTTGAGCTTAATTCTCTTCTGGGTCGCAGGTAAATTATTCCAGGTTAAGAGTCGTGTTTTGTAAGAACCACGTTGTGGGGAAGGAGCCAGGCTCCCCCACCTGGACGACATGAGCTATTGCAAGCCCTTTAAGATTTACCGTCAGGGTTTCTGTGCCATGTTTTACCTATCTGCAGAGTAGCCACTCCCAGGTGGGTGGGTGAATTTATATATTGGGCCCAAGAAAGAAACAGATTGGCTATCAGGAGTTTATCCACGTACCACACCACCCTCCTGATGGTTGCAAAACCAAGAGACCTCAATGTACCTGACTGCATCCTTCACCCTGCAATTAACCAAACGGGGCTGGCATCTTTGAGCAAATAAATATCAGTTTGCAAGTGAGCGCCAACTTCCAGATGTATAGGTTTAGCATTGTGGATGGAAAGGGTTTTTTTTTTTTTTTAACTATGAGAACACTGAACAGAAAACGCTCCTGAAAGTCCTAATATAGAGTTAGCATTGTGAAATAAACATCAGTGGACTGTAGTTCCAGAAATCTCACACCCCAGCTCTGCTTTCTTTCTTTAGATTGTTTTATGCCCACCTTTAGGCAGTGAACATATCTAATACCCCTTTCTTGTCCTATTTTCCCCACAACTACAACCCTGTGAGGTGGGTGGCTGAGAGAGTGAGTGACTGGCCCAAAGTCAACCAACTGGCTTTCATGCCTAAGGCCCAACTAGAAGTCCCCATCTCCTGGTCTCTACCCTGGTGCCTTCATCATGAAGCCAAACACTCAGCCCCACATGCTGGGGGTTACTGCCTTGCCTGTTCTCACCCCTGCTCTAGGCCACAAAGTCAACAGTTTGGGTTTGATTTATGCAGAGGAAAAGCAGAACCTGGTTTGAAAAGGGGCCAAAGCTGGCCAGGAGGCCCTCAGAAACGTTTCCAACTGGCTCCCTCCTCTCGACATTCCAGCGACACCAGAGAAAGACGACCCACATGATGTGCAGAGGGAATAAGCCAGCGCACTCTCTTTAGAATGGCTGCAACAGCTGCTTTGTTGGCTCCTGAGCACCAGCCAAGAATGCGCTACTCCTGAGAATGCAGGCATATCCTTCGAAGGCATGTATTGTTTCTGCTAGTTACAGTTAGCAGAGCTCCATGGGGGAGAGAAAGTCAACCTCTTGAACTCAGGACTCTCCTGGGCGGGGGGGGGGGGGGGAAGCTGACCTGCTGCTTTTGAAGCACAAATGCTGGTTTTCAATCTCCCTGAACAAATTGTTGGAATAGTTTTAGCATCCCCGTTTCCTTGGCAGCAGCCCATTGGGTTAGTCCCAGAGTTATAAATACCTTCTTGGTCTATTGGTGCTATTAGCAGTGTGCCCCCCCCCCCCCGAAAAAGGCATGTGGGGGACCAAAGAACGGAATGTGGCAATGCTAGATATAAAGGTGGCAATAACGACTGAATGTTCCTTTATCCATTTGTTGACTTGCTGAGACATGAGATGGTATTTGACAAGATGGTGGCCTAATGAGTAGTTTTATTCATTTATACTAAATGACGTCATCACCCATGCACTAAATCTGGCTGAAATCTGAAGCCATCCAGCTCCTGATAAGTGATGGGAGCGAAATCCCAGCTTGAAGCTGTCATGTCTGTCAGTGGATGTGTACTTTTTAAAACCACACAAGCTGCAAAGTCTGAGTATCTGTACAAAACCATCACAATCCTTAACAATCCCCAAAACTAGACTGTGAGTTGCTTGGTTTGACCATATATTTGACCTTATGGCGTGTGAATGCAGGGCACAGATGTGGTTTGTAGGCCGCACCGTATCATGTTGTGTGAGCCCAGTCAAATGTGGTTTATTGAATCTTCTAAGGCAGGGGTATCCAACCTTGGCAACTTTTAAGACTTGTGAACTTCAACTTCCTTTTGAAATGGAAAACATGTGTAGACTCTGGAGTTGCAACTAAAACGATGCATCACAATAAAAAGAAAGACCACTCAAATTCACCCACATTTTAGCCCCATCTGCACGAGGAATGCACCCCACTCATTTTGCAATACTTTACCTCTCACACAGGTGATTTGGGAAATTATTATATTTTTCTTAAAAAACTCCATAGCACTAAAACACTTCATGGTTGGACAAAACCATTTCATTGCATCATGGAAAAACAAAATATGAGCACCAAAGCTGCTTTAAGAGTCCTAGGTACAGCTCAGATTTGTTCTATTACCCAAAAGGAAACAGATTTTTCAAACAATGTCATGCTGTGTTGTGCAATCATAGTCTTTCTCCCTGGGTTTTAGCCTCGACGAAACCCACTTAGCTTTGCAGCCTCCGTTTATCATTGGGAGATGCACTCAGTTATTTTCAGAAGGCAGTGACTGAATTGTCCCACCAGGTTTTTATAACTGAAATGTTCAGATACTTAATTCACACCTAAGTAATCAGCAATGTCTCATTATTTTTATCCAGTAATCACAGGTTGCCAATCTGAAATAGTAGAGTCTAAATGAAGATTTGTACAACCAAGTTAGATATATGACAATTTCATTAATTGTATTTTTTACAGCTACATCTCAATCTCAGCCATGTTCATATATGTTAGCTATTTTGCTGCATGTGCCAACATGACCGTATTATTTTTGTTCTGTTTAAGCCTTGTTTGCTTCTCTATCTTTTTCTTTCAAGTAAGGGGAATATTTTTTGTTTTTTCTACCAACCTATTCATGGACAAGGAAAGGAAGATTTGTACTGTAGCATAATATTATCACGGAAATAGCCACTAGAGGACACCCACCATACGTCAATATACAGTACCACAACCTTGTTTATTATATTAATGGCATCTAAGATAATAAAATGCAAGTGCTTGGCCAAGACTAAACTAAGTCTCTTTTATCCGGCATCCTGTTTTCCACAGTAACCAAAGAGGAAGACAGCAAGCAGACGTCTCCAGCCAACATCGGGTCTGATTTGGAACTGCAGCTCGCAGATTATCAATTAGCTCTAATCAATTTTTATTACTGTTTTTCCTATAAAAGCCCAAACATGCAGAGCATGTGTAAGCAACGGCATTCTTCCTTTTAATCCACCTACTGAACTATGCTTGGTTTGTTTTAGAGACCATTGGGGAAAGAAACCCTCAACAGCAGTTTATTCACCAGGCTGGGATTTAGTGGAATGTGTGAACTCAGTACCAATCTGTGTTAAACTGATTTAAAGCATATTTGTCCCTATGCAGTCAAAAGGCAGATGGGATTATCTGAAAAGATAAGCATTCTCATGAATGCGGGATTTCATTTCACTGTTAAAAAGAAACAATCCATCGTCTTTCACTTGATAGAAGGAGAAAATGATCCCAAAATATAGCAATATCGAGCCACATCCAGAAGCAGGCAGGAAATTATTCAGCTAAAATACAGGTGGTCCTCAACTTGCAACAGTTCACTTAGTGACTGCTCAAAGTTACGACACTGAAAAAAGTGACTTATGACCAATTTTCACACTTATGACCGGTGCTGCATCCCCATGGTCACGTGATCAAACTTCAGACACTTGGCCACTGACTCATGTTTTTGACGGTCGCCATGTCCTGGGGTCACGCAATCCCCTTCTGTGACCTTCTGACAAGCAAAGTCATTGGGGAAAGCCAGATTCACTTAACAACCATGGTACGATGACTGTGGTGACTCACTTAACAACTGTGGCAAGAAAGTTGTAAAATGGGGCAAATTCACTTAATGCGCCGCTTAGCAACAGAAATGAAGGGTTTAATTATGGTTGTAAGTCAAGGGCTACCTGTAAATATTAGATCTCTCTTGATTCTTATCCTGTGTTTCTCAACCTTGGCAAATTTAAAGATGGGTGAAGTCCACCCATCTTAAACTCGCCAGGGATGACAAACACTGATCTCACCTATTTGGATAACTATAGAGAAGACAAGCCTAAGACTGAAAATCAGGCTTGTCAGATGCTATATTTTTTCTATCCTGCTCTATGGAGTAGAGAGTTGGTCTCTGACAGAAGGCCACCTGAAGAGACTAGAAGCATTTGAAATGTGGATTTACAGGCGGCTGTTATGTATAAGCTGGGTTGACAAGATCAGAAATGAGGTGATAAGCCGCCTGGGAAAGCCAAGGGAAATCATCAAAACAATTAAAAAATGAAAATTAGAATATTTCGGACATGTGATGCGACACCCAGAAAAATATGGCATACTGCATTTAATCCTCCAGGGAAAGATGGAAGGCAAACGAGGTCCAGGCAGAAGAAGAACATCGTGGCTTCAAAATCTAAGGGACTGGTTTGGACAAAACTCACCAGCACTTTTTCGTGCGGCTGCTGATAAAAACAGGATCGCCAACGTGATCGCCAACGTCCGATAGCGGATATGGCACAAGAAGAAGAAGATAGAGAAGAGGAAAGAATTAGAAAGGAAAGCAACTAGTCAGAAACTGCGGAATACGTGGAACGTGAAGTCTGGGTTCACACAGGATGGCAGAATCCTCCAGTTAGGTTAAGATTGCCGCTCAATCCGAAGGTGGGTTTCCATAAAAGGCTGGATCATGGGCCCTCCAGAACCCAGATGGGTTTCTCCCGGGAAAAAATGCAGAAGCCTTCAAGTCGGAGCAGCCCCTCCTCAAAGCAAGGGGGGTCCAGGGCTTGGTGGTTGCCCCCCCCCAACAGTGCCTCTTCTTTATAGGGTGCCAAGTTCAAACAACAATGTGGACTTTCTCCTAGGTTAGTGATGGCGAACCTTTTAGAGACCGAGTGCCCAAACTGCAACCCAAAACCCACTTATGCATCGTCGGGTGCCCGGTGGGTGTGGCCCATTAGGTGGGTGTGGCCCATTGGGTGGGCGTGGCTGGGGTGGTAACGGCAGACTGGATGGGACTAAAAAGTTCAATCAATCAATTCCAACTTTGCAAGATCTTTTTTTTTCCGGGAGAAGTTGAAATTGACTGATTGATTGAACCTTTTTTTTTTTTGCACACAGTGGCGGAGGCCTAAAGCAAAAAGGTTTTATAAAACCCAGCTGAAGGCCTAGGATTGGGGCGACGGCGCGTGTGCCCACAGAGAGGGCTCTGAGTGCCACCTGTGGCACCCGTGCCATAGGTTCGCCACCACTGCCCTAGGTGGTCAAGCACTCAGCTGTCTCAATCACTGTGGTCCTTTTGGGAGGAGTTGGCAGGGGTCCCTTCGGCTTTCATGGGGGCTGGGAGGCATTTATGGCTTCCGTTGATTTGTATTTATCGATTGCGTCCATCTTCCCTCCTTCACATGGTCGAAGTGGGAAAGACTAATACATTCCCTGGGCTACGACAACCCTGCCAGGTGGGTCAATCTGGATCACTGGCTGAAGGAGAGGGGTCTTCAAGGCCACACAGGAGCCTCCCACCCTCGGGCTGTTTACTGATTTATGTATTTATTTGTATTAATAGATCAGTTTCTGTTATTCCTCCCGTCTTCTCTCCACATGGTTGACCCAGTGTAACTTCCTTGGATACAATGTAACGTTCCGTTTCCGCCTTCACAACAACCCTGCGAGGTAGGCCTACCTGGCCCCAAAGGGTCGCTGGGTGATTGGGGAGGGGGGGGGAGCCTTCTTGGCCATGAGGGAATCTCCGGTCCTCAGGCCGTTTCCTGGGTCTCTCCGTGCTAATGGCCCGGTTGCTAGGCAACCCGAGCTTTTATTACCCCCCCTTCCTATCTCTCTTCACTCTCTGGAGCCATTCCTCTCTCTGTTGCTAGGTTACCCAAGCCCCGCCCCATCCGTCAGCGATGGACCGGCGAGCCCCGCCCCCTCCTGTCAGACAGCGCAAGTTAGCACGCGCCCGAAACACGCGCAGAAACAGCCCTCTCCCGGCCACACCTCTTTGGCTTCGCCAGAGCCAATCGCGACCCGCCGAAGGGCGGGGCTTGGGGGCGAGCCGTGAGTGACAGCGACGGCCGCCCGGCGGAGTCCCGTTAGGTGGGTGGTGAGAGGGAGGCCGGCATGAAGGGGCGGGCCTCGGAGGGGAACGCGGCCCAATCGTGACGCGCCCGAGAGGGAGAGAGGGGCGTGGGCGAGGTGAGGAAGATCCGGCCTCCCGCTCCTCTCTCGCCGGCCGTGCCTCCTCACCCTCTGCGCCGGGTCGGATCCCTCCGCTCGCGGAATCCCTCCCACGTATAACGGCAGTGGGGGAAAAGCACCGCCCGGCAGCGTCGTCTCCTGTCGCGGGATTATTTGTCGCGCGCCGGGCGGGCGAGCGAGCGAGCGGGCAGCGGAGGCGGTGCATCCCCGGAGAGCCGAGGCGGCGAGGCGAGGCAAGGCAAGGGTGAGGTGCTGCCGCCTGGCCTTCTTCCCCTCGGCGGCCAAGGGATGGAGGGAGCCCCCGGGCCGAGGCGGCGGCGGGAAGGAGGAGTCGCCTCCTGAGGGAACCGCGAAGCGCGCCCGGGTGGCCCGAGGAGGCTTCAGGCGCCCCCCGCCCCCTCAGACGGGCGCAGCCCCCCCCCCGCTCGCTCCCCCGAGGGGCTGCTGAGGCCCCGCCCCTCAGGCCCTGCCCGGGCGACCCCGCGGCTCTGCCCCCCCCCCCCGGCCGAGCCGGGCGCTCGCGGGTCGGCTGGCTGGCGGGCCGGCGCGGGGCAGCATGGTGGAGAAACGCTGCCCGCGGCTGCAGCGCGAGAGCGTCTACCGCTGGTTCTCGGAGCTGCCGTCCCCGCAGCGGGTGGAGTTCCTGTGCGGCCTGTTGGACCTCTGCATCCCGCTGGAGCTGCGCTTCCTGGGCGCCTGCCTGGAGGACCTGGCGCGCAAGGACTACCACTCGCTGCGCGACTCGGAGATCAAGGCCAACAACGCGGCCGACCTGGGCAGCCTGACCAACCTGACGGACGAGGTGGTGCGCAGCAAGCTGCTGGTCTCGCTGGCGCTGCTGGGCTCGTCGCACCGCGAGGCGGCCGGCGTGCTCTTCCGCACCCTCACGCACCTCGACTCGGTCATCCACAACTACGGGCTGCAGCTCAACGAGGGCCGCACCGGCGATGAGTTCCTGCTCCTCTTCACCATGGCCTCCAACCACCCGGCCTTCAGCTTCCACCAGAAGCAGGTGCTGAGGCAGGAGCTCACCAAGATCCAGAGCCTCCTGGCCTGCACCGCCAAGGGACCCCCCGTCAGCGCCCCCGCCGGGGTGGCCGGCGCGGGGGCCACCTGCCCTGGGTGCCACAAGGTGGGTGCCGGGCTTGGGAAGGGACAAAGGGGCCAGAGGGCATGCAGACCGTGGTTAAGGGGCCTGGAAAGGAAGCAGATCATGATTAAGGGAGCTGGAGGGGCTGGAAGGGAAGCAGACCGTGGTTAAGCGGGCTTGGAGGAGATGGAGAGGAGATGGACCGTGTGTCCAGGGTTCTACTGTCTGTCCCCTCTTCACCACCACTGCCTCTTCCCACTTCCTTTCCCTTTGGAAAGGGGCACCTTTCAGTCAAGAGTTGCTTCTCCAATCTTTGGAAGAAGATACAGATGTCCCTAAGCTATGTAGCTGTCCAGCCTGTTGGGCCTAGGGATTGTAACATAAATGTTGGCCCCAGGAGCTAAATTGGGGTTTTTTTCTCCCATTAATACAGCTGGGGGAAGAGGCTTTTGTTTATTTTATAAAAAGCAGCCTGGTTTTGTGAAACAGTTTTAGTAACCAGGAATTGAGACTGGACAGATGTTTTGGCCATCATCAGTGACAATTGTTTAAAACTATTTCACAACTTGTAATCCATTGGAAGTATGCAATGTGGACCTGCTAAAGTTAATTTCCTTCAGTAGTGTGTGTATTTTAAATGTCCTCAATGTGAAACTTTCAGTGTCTTTTTTATTTTATTTGTTTTTGGCTCATATTAGAGTTCACTGTTTCATAATAACTGGGATCAGTAAGCAGAGATGAATGCTTTTAAATTTGCTGAGGCAGAGATATAATTCAAGAAGGAAGGAACTTGTACAGTGGTTTAATTCCTCAGAAGTGGCTTGAGGCAAGCATGTTGCTCTTCTCATTGTGGTCTCCTGAAGTTCAATATAAGCACTGCAAATGCTCTTAAGTCTATACCGCATTTGGACTATACCACAGGTCGGCAACCTGCGGCTCCGGAGCCGCATGCGGCTCTTTGAGTCTTCCCTTGTGGCTCCCAGCCTCCTCTGCCTCTGCAGAGAGAGACAGAGACAGGGAGAGGCAATTGCGCTTCCCTGCCTCTCTCTCTCTCTCTCTCTGTGTGTGTGTTTGTGTTTTTGTGGGTGTGTATGTGTAAAAGAGAGTGCACTCACAGTGTTCTCCGAGGAGCTGAAAAGCTTTCTGGGCAGAGATCCTCCCTTTGCTGCGTCTCTGCAGGAAGCAGGAAGGGCAGAAGAGAGCTAGCTAGCCCAGCTAGGCTGACTCAGGAATTCTGGGAGTTGAAGTCCATGAGTCATAAAAGAGATGAGGTTGCCTACTCCTGAGCTTGTGGACAACAGTTTGAAGCTTGCCAGGTGAGCACAGATAGGAGAGGGGGGGAGAGAAAGAGAAAGAGAGAGAGAGGGAGGGAGAGAGAGAGAGAGAGAGAGGAAAGAGAGAGAAAGAAAGAGAGTGGGGGAAGAGGAGTGGCAGACCAAGGGCAGATAGAGAGGGAGGGAGAGAGAGAGAGAGACAGAGAGAGAGAGACCCTTTTGACATCTAAAATGAAGATAACACTGCATATATCCTTTTTTTTACCTGTGTGTGTATGTGTGTGTATACACACACACACACACATATATATACAGATATACACACACATACATACATACATACACACAAACACACACACACCTATAATAAAGGTAAAAAAGGATATATGCAGTGTTATCTTCATTTTAGATATCAAAAGGGTTTTGCGGCTCCCGGTGTTTTGTTTTTGGTGGGAAACGGGTCCAAGTGGCTCTTTGAGTGTTTTGGGTTGCATACCCCTGGACTATACAAATTTGAACCCACTCTTCACAATCTTGCTTCCATACAGATGTGGATTCCCCCCCCCCCCCAGGCGGTGCAAATTGAGGATATAAGAAAAACAGAGTTGGAAGGAACCTTGAAGGTCTTCTAGTCCAACTCCCTGCTCAGGCAGGAAACCCTATACCATTTCAGACAAATGGTTTCTAATCTCTTCTTTAAAACCTCCAGTGTTGGAATAAAGAACAGTGTACCTGGATCATGATTAAATTGGGGAACACTGATCTAGTAAGAGTGGATTAATTCTGTTGCTACTGTTAATACATTCTACGTTATGTATTTCATTAAACAGAACCCAGTGTGAGGAGATTTTTGTTACAATCCTGTGTTCCAAAGAATAAACTCAGTTGGCTTACTTCTCAAAACTTAATACCATAGGCAATTTTTCATTTCTCAAACAAAAACACAGGATTAAGTATCAATTTACATAAGCAACTGAATCAGCTAACAATACTTCAAATACTGTTAGATATAAATTCTTGATTGAATACTTGTTTAATGTCATTTGTAAGCATCTGCATCTAGCTTCATGTGTTTCTATAACAATCTAACTTCGGGGATTAACAAAGTAAGTCTATACTTCACGCTTTGCCAAATTCAAGCATTTTGAATCAGAGCTGGGGTTTGCAGGAGTAGCCAGAAAATACACTGAGATGAAAAATGCTGTGTATCCCAGTAGGTATTGTGTAAAACAAAATCTAATGTATTCACACACCAATTAACTCCTGATTGAATAAAAGCATTCAGTGGGATTTTGTGCTACATTTTTTTTTAATATCAGTATTCATTTCTGGTTTTAAAGATCTTTATGAGAGTCATCCTGAATCATAATAATCTAAAAAGATGGCATTAATTTTCCAAGCTGCGTTAACGTAAAGGCACGCAGAGATCACCTACTTGTTAGTGTTTGCCATGGAACAAATTTAAAGTTTGCTCATATACTCATTGTCAAGAGTTGAATCTAACAGTTTGTGAAAGTATCTTTCCTGATAACTTTGACAATTAAAAGTTTGCAATGTTAATAGAAAAAGAAAAATGCATGTTAGGACTTGAGGAAAGATAGGCTAATGCAAAGAAAAGGTTGCATGCGGAACATGCTTAATTTGATAACATTATCACATTATTACCGAATCCCAAACTTGAAACTCTCAAAAGAAAAAAGGGTGAATCAGATCAAGTTTGGGATATTAGGCGAAAGCAGGCTGAGTTGATACATTTGATAAGTGTTCTCCCTCATAGGTTTTCCTCTTTTGTCTTTAGCTTCTTAGGTTTGGTAGAGTGTTATTTCATAGCTACCGGTTACAATGTTGAAGTCCACATATCTTTAAAGTTGCCAAGTTTGAGAAACACTGTCATAACTGATTTGATTAGTTTGTAAAACCAGGGTCTAAATCTAATTAGGTTTATTTACAATTCCACAGAGAGGCATTAGTGTTATATGGAACTGAAATAAACTGATTGCAGGGTGCATTATTATGCATAATCCTTGATATGATACATTTTTTGTGCCCAGCACAACTATTCTTACTGAAAATAACCTTGTAGCATAAATTACATTGACAGCAAATCTCATACTCTCCTTCTTTTATTGAATGTTAAAAAACCGTTGGAATTCCTGCCATCTACCAGATTATAAATTCCTATTACTGCATGGTTGATGGACACGTGAATCTTTTGGAATAAAGTTTGTTTTCACTTTCACTTACTTAGCCGTTGCAAGTATATTTTATAGAAAGATAAAAGCTTGGATTGGCAATAGGGTCAGGTATGTATTGGAAATAAACGGTTTGCCCTGGGCATTATAGTGTAGCAATGGTGAATGGCCGGATGCAGCTCTGTGCATGTGCCCCCCCGCTCAGGAATGGGGGAAAACGATATGCTGGATATTGTGTGAAAGGCGTTTGATCTTGGCCAGAAGGAGCTGGCAAGACGGCTTAGATGATGAAAAGCAACCTGAGGCCAATTTTCAAGCAGATTAGGTCACCTAGGATCTGACTATCATGGGCTGTCTGGCTCTGTTACAGGGGCAGTGATGTGTAGGGACCCCTTTGGCCAGTTGTCTGTTTTAAAAAAAACAATCCACGTGGTAAAAGTATTTGGAATATATTGAGTTACAGAAATTGTGTCCTGCTATAAAGAACACTTGTTGCATTTCCTGCTGAGAAAATTCACACAGTGTATCTGAGGCTATTGACTCAGCAGAAGCCGTTCTTAGATAGCTAAGTAGATAGGTAAGTAGAATAATAGTTGGTATCTTAAGTGCGGCACTTGGAAGTACTTGGTGCTTTTTTGGTCCATGTATTTGCTAAAAGTGAGTCACCGTAATTATTTGATTAGTGAAGTCTGAGACTAGGGCAAGATTTATTAAGTCTTTTCAAACAAAATGAAATGTGACGCTACCTCAGGAACGTGTCTGAGACACACAGCAGATTGTTTTGATTTGAGAATTACTTTTCATAGAAAGCAAATTAACGTAGGTATAACAGAAATATGAGCATTAACCTTTTGTAATTAGATTCTGGGGCCTGAAGATGCTTTCTAAAAGATAGCAAGTTGAAAATAATGTTGCTTTAGAAATAACTGGACTTTGAGAATATTTTTAACTCACGTAAGCCAAATTGACGGTTGGTTTCTTGTATTTTTTCCTCTTACCTAGGTCACTCCGAGATCCGAGACCCCCATAAACCATGTGGTGGGTAACAGTTTAGAGAATGCACTCCACACATCAGCACATTCCATTGAGGAGTCATTGCCTAAAAGGCCTTCAGGGAAGCACTCCAAAGGTACATCCCAACATTTTGCCAAATATTCCTATTTGTATGTGGGGGAAAATAGTCTGACTGCTTAAACATTGCTTATAAATTGATAAAGGAAACCCATTTTTAATATTGCAAAACAATGATAGGTCACTCTAAGACTAAGGAACAGTTTGTTCTCTATCAGTTTTGAACAGGAAGATTCTGTTTAATGGATGGGAGTAATTTATTACCCTCAGAGTTTCACTCATTTCCCCATTTGCCTTCAGAAGGTAATTCTCATGGCCATGGAAGAATCTGTCTTCTTTGAGTAGCCTTACTGCCAAGCTGTACTACCTGCTATAGTTATACCACTCCACAAGAAAGTACTTGAACGACAAACAGATTTGTTGCTCTAACTCATGCAGTGCATAGCCCTGTTATGTTGAATTTTCAGTGCTTAAATGAGATTTTTTTGCTGTGGTCCTTTTGTTACGATATTGATTCATCTATTGCTTGAACTTTAAAAAGGCATTGAGAGGTATTAGAATTCAGTCTGGCATGGTAGACTACAAATGTTGCTTTGAAGCTGTACCTAAGAATATTTTGGAACGTCCAGATAAGAATGTTTCATATAAACAAATAAATCAAATAAAAGGATTCATATAGCAGGTAAAGCAGTCATTCATAATAGAAAACCATGCTTGGTTTTACGGTAGAAACAGACAATAAAGTATACTATTTTTTTTTCTGCTAGTGAGATATATGAATCTAAGGCTTCCTAAATCACATTTGGAAACAAATAATCTGACAGTTCATTGCTTATGACCAGGAAGTTATTGTGTGTTGATGTTCTGAGATTTATCTGGAATACTGAAGTAACACCAAAAATATTGGAAACTCTTCAGACCTGTTGATCATGTGCAAAACACAAAACACAGCCTTGCTCAAACAATCTAAAGAATCTTCACTATTATAGTTTACTTAGATCTTGCTTCTAGGATGGTATATAAAATCTAATTAAGTTTTTGATAAAGTATGGACATTTCAACTCTTACATTATTTAGTTTCCCTGAAAACAATGCCCCTTAAATGAAAAGATCACAATTATTTATTCTTGACTCTTGTACAAACAAGCAGGATAGAAAGTCGTATTTCATTCTCTGTGCAGCATGCCTCTTTAGAACTTTACCAGATGTCTTGACCACAGCATATTTTCCAAAAGCATAGTGTGGGATAAAATACATTAAACCAGATGTTGAAATGAACTCTGCACTCCATCAGCTCTTACAATAGTTTAATGAAATGGCAAATCTGTATGGAAGCACCCTTATGACTATCTCATTGTGTAAAGCTCAAATGACATTTCCAATGTGTAGCTGTGTTCTCATTAGGGTGATAAAGAAACCTCAGATTTTATTTAAGGCAGCCTATATTATTTTCTGTCTGATAAAATATTTCACCAATGTTAACGCTGTGTAGAGAAGAAGCCTCATCTATTTCCCCATTAGCATTTATTCTAAAATATTGAAAACAAAACTTACTGGATTTCCTAAGAATAACATACAAGCAGTAATTTCCAAAACAGGACAAATTAGAACTTATTTATGGTGGGAAAAGGACATTTGTTTCTGCTTTGGAAGGATTGAGACTACTTTAAGGTTATGTCCATATTCCAGTGAAGACGCAGGTAGTCTCCGACTTACAACCACAATTGAGCCCCAAATTTTTGTTGCTAAGCAAAACCCTTGTTAAGTGAATTTTACCCCATGTTATGACATTTCTTGTCACAGTTGTTAAGTGAATCACTGCAGTTAAGTTAGTAACATGGTTGTTAAGTGAATCTGGCTTCCCCCTTGATTTGGCTTGTCAGGAGGTTGCAAAAAATATGGCCACATGACCCCTGGATACTGCAGCCATCATAAATATGAGTCAGTTGCCAAGTATCTGAATTTCGATCTCGTGATCGTGGGGATGCTACAACGGTCATGTGAAAAACAGTCACTTTTTGCACTGTTGTTGTAACTTCAAACAGTCACTAAATGAACAGTTATAGGCCGAGGACTATCTGAACATGCATTTAAACTTAAAGGAGATCCAAAGTCGTTTTATTTAGTGTGCATCTATAAGAAAGTGCAGTCCAGCGTGAGAAGCATGCTGGACTGCACTTGGGTTCTTGGGTTTATAGGTTCCCAAGACTGGATTCGGATGTCATGCCAAACTGTGGTTGATTTGATTGCAACTCGGTGAACACAGGATAATCATAGTCCTGCAATGTTAAAGGCAAAGGTTTCCCCTGTCCAGCCGTGTCCGACTGTAGGTCATGGTGCTCATCTCCATTGGTTGGCTGAGGGAGCCATGTTGCCCGAAGACATTTTCTATGGTCATGTGGCCAGCAGCAAGACTAGACTCTGAAACAGCATTTTGTTTTTTTCTGAAGAGAAAAGAAAAGGAAGAAGAAAAAACAAGCAGAGAAGACAGCTGTTTTTCTCTACTACTGCTTGTGTTACACCTCTTAGGAAAGACCATTGATTTATTGCATTACCTCATTGCATTGAGCATATCCATTTCATTAGTGTATCATGCTTATGCTATTTTTAACAATATGTTGAAGGGACGGTGCTGATGAAATTACATTATTTTGATGCCTAGCTGAAAGGAAAGTGGTATGGTCACAAAGACTGCTTGTAAGAATCCCGCTATGACTCTGTTGAACTATTTACGATTTTCAGATTGTGATTGGATAAGGCTACCAATTAAATAATTTCTTCTTGCAAGCCGTTTATTAGGAGTAGTTGTGTTATATTTTGACACGGGTCAGTTCCACAAAATGCGTACCATCTGTGGAAGGATACCACCAGGCCAAGCTACTGTGTTCATTTTGCTTCTGACCATGACTGCCATTTCAGATTATTGGAGGAGGTGCTACCAGTCACATCCAGTGGCTTTCTCAAAGTAAAGCATCAGTGTGTGATGGGGGATGTGAATTATCTTGAGACATGGAAGCAGTCGTGCTTTTAGACGGAAGGAGATGGTGGCTCATTATTTAGGCCATTGTTTGCCCACAAACAGAAATATGGACTTTATTGCAATTAACCCCTAAGAAATATTGGTTGTTTAGTTCTGCTTTTACTTATCAAAGCTCTTTTGAGTATAAATTCTGCTCCGTCCCCTATGCATATGATTGGTAGTTGGGGAGTGAAGGGGTTTGTTGCTATTAAGATTCAAATTAATGTGTACAGTGTAGAATTGGCTAAAAGAGGAATATTCAGGGAGAAAAAAGCAGTTTTCTGCAGTTAGGTTAAATACTTCGCAGAAGTGATTTAGGAGTTGAAATCCTTCATAAAGAAATCCATGTTCATTTGAAATGCATGAAATCCCTATCTTTTCACAGTTTTGATATTGTGGCACCTACACATTTTGTTTCTGAATTTTGAAAAGATTATCACTTGAGGCATCGTCCTTGTTTGTGCATAATATTGTGCCGGCCTGTCATCTGATCTCCCACATCTTCTTTAAAGCTTACCTGTCAATCTTCATTGACAGTCACAGACCAAAGTAACAACACAGTAATGCCAAAATTAAGAGTTAGCATGCATTACAATTGTGGGCTGTTCAGAGACAGACATTTGATGCCTGGGTGAAATAAGAGAAAATGACAGGTCAAAAATGACAAAGATGTTAAGTAGCCAGTCCTTAACCTACCCTAGATCACAAGGAAGTTGCTCTTGACTGCTGGCGTTATTATTCTGCAAGCTCTTCTGACATTGTCGGGAATAATAGGGGTCAAAGCCATGCTTGGGCAATGGAGTTGGCTTGCTAGTATAGAAGAGGGTGAGGTAGGTCCTGCAGCTCCTGGATGGAGACACCTTAGTCAGCTCAGGGCACACTCAGCTCCTTCCTCCTCTGCTTCAGCTGACTGAGGAGTTTAGTTGCTTCTGAAAGTGGTACAGGTGCAAGCAGCCCACTCTCATGCTCCTTTGAAGGGGATAAAAATATTCATCTCTGCAGAATTCACAGGAAACTTTCATTGGAACTTACTATGCTTTGATTTGGTGCAATTAATCTGCAGAAGGTTGCCCAGTCACTTGCTCCTCCAGCTATTACAATTGTTGCCAAGCTTTTTTGCAGGGGGCGGGTTTTGTTAATGCTTCTGTTTCTTTCTGTTATTATGTGTGGGATGTGTGTATGTTTCTGTAATTATATTACAGTATTGATATTCTCTAGGGCAGGTGTCAACCTTGGCAACTTTAAGACTTGTGGACTTCAACTTCCAGAATTGGCTGGGGAATTCTGGAAGTTGAAGTCCACAAGTCTTAAAGTTGCTAAGGTTGGACACCTCAGTACATACAGTAAATGACTGCCTAACCCTTTGATATGTGCCCTAAGTGTGACCCCATAGAATGAAATTGTGGTGCAGATACTGTAGCTAGCTCAAACTAACTTGATAAGTTATGTCAAGCATTATTACAGAAATTCAAATATACTGAGATCAGGCCATCCTAAAAATATTATTTGATTAAGTGATTAATTTTAAAAAAGATACAGTACCTATTATTGTTTATGTAGTTCATGTAGAGCAGGGGTCCCCAACCCCCAATCCGTGGACCGGTACCAGGCCGCAGTATGCCAGCAACTGCTCTGCACAAACAAGCAAAGGCCCATCCGTGGGATGCAGGCAACACACAAAACCACCCACCCTCCGGTCCCAGAACCGGTCCCTGGTGCCCAAAAGGTTGGGGACCTCTGATGTAGAGGATGTAAACTTGTAGATTATATCCTATTGTAGACCTAGTTTACAATGAAGTGTATATACACTCATTTTTTTGCCTTGAAGATTGAAAGACATATGCTACTCTTAGTTCTAGGTCGATGGGATATTTTTTGTTGAAAAATATTTGTGGTTTTTGATATATCTATATACATGAAACAGTATAAACAGTTATCTAGAGAACATGTTTAAGAATGTCATGTTTTTAACAGAGAGTATAATAAATTGGAAGTCCGGCTATTTGTGCAAAAATAATGTTCATCTGAGTTTTAGTTTCCTGTCCCAGAGATTACTCATGTTTTTAAAATAGCAGTTATATGTTTTTCTCATAATTCCCAATATACTTAATGGGCATTGTGGTTATCTTAAGATGCTGACTTCACTACTTGTCTGGTCACTGAATTCGTATTTTGTTTTGATTTTAACTTTTTTTTTAATATTGAAAGTAAACCAAGTATAATAAAAGAAACCCAAGATCTTTTAATCTTGAACCTGCTTTTGGAAATACATGAAAAAGTTATTCACAGTCTGAAAATGAAAAGGAATGAATTTGCAGAATCAGACAGGAAATTAAGTATTAGTACTGTAAATTGGAACTGAACGTTCCATATGTTGTCCACATGAGTGGGGTTTAATGGGTTTCTAATGTGTGTTTCGTATCTGTGGTTGCATTTGTAGCAGAAAGGTAGTAACTGGATATGTTAGCATTGCCATCCTTGTGTAGGTCGCTCTGGCATCTTCCTGGGGTAAAACCAGAGAGAAAGAAGAAAGAAATGCAACTGCTAAATTTCTGTTTCTCACATTTTTTGGTGGGATCCATATAAAGACTAGGTATAAAACAAGTTTAAATATTAGAGAATACTATCCTATTTTCCTATTAAAATCTATAGCAGTGGTGGCGAACCTATGGCACGTGTGCCAGAGGTGGCACTCGGAGCCCTCTCTGTGGGCACATGCACTGTCGCCCCAGCCCCGCCTCCTCCCACAGCCCTCTCCTCACCAGCAGCCCCCCGGAGGAGAGTCGCCCCCGGGCATGGCCCACATGAAGCAGTGCAGCCAAGGACATGGTAGCCGGGCAGCAGGAACAAGACTCCGCCCTTGCGCCCCGTCGTGCGCAGATGATGCTGCGGGGCACAGGTGGAGGGCATGGCCGCCATGGCACTGCGGGGCTACCTGGGTGATCTGTGGTGGGTTGTGGAGGTGGTGGGTAGACCAGTGGGCATGGCGGAGCGGAGACGGGTGGGGGGGCAGTTTTTGGGCACTCGGTCTCTAAAAGGTTCGCCATCACTGATCTATAGTCTTTCTGTGCTCTAATTGCTAATAAAAGCATGTGACTCTTCAGGGCTAGCTAGTGCAAAGTTAGTAATTTGGATATATTTCTCTTTTCCTCAAGCAGTTATTTTAAGGTATCAGTCAATCAAACAATTCTTCTGTATTCTTTGAAAACTATTCAGTTCTTTCTTGGTATTAGCGTGCCTGTGATGTAGTTATCTAAATAACGATTGAGCATTTGTTTACTAGTGGCATGATCTGTTTTCCTATTAGTTCAATTTCTGATAAAGTTTTAGGTGGAAACTACATCCTATGAATTAAAAGATGAAAAATAACATTAAGAACATTTAATTATGACACAAATGTAAGGATTAATTCAATTGATTAATCCAGATGTTTCAATTGGATTCAGTTCATATGACTTTCCTGCAGAAAGATAGAATAAACAGGAAGTTTAAACATTTAAAATTGTTAATTTACCACATAGGGAGAAAATGTGTTTTGAGACAAGTGAGAAAAAACATAACAGGAATGTTAGTTAAGAAAAGTGCTTTTAAACAATGTTAGCTTTTCCAAGAGAGATTAATATTCAGATTACACACATGGGTATTTTTAAACATGTTCTTTTTATCTGCTGGCATGTTATCCAGCAAATGTTAAAATTTTTTACTCTAGGAGATAATCGGTCAACTCTTGTTTCAAAGATGAGCATTTTATGTACATTAAAAACCTTTAAGACACTGACTTTGGTATGCGTATGTTGCCTGCCTAAAATTTTTTGAGCCCATCAGATCTGGCAAAAGGCATGCTGCAGGTCCCATCTGTTAAGGAATTAAGTTGGCAAGCCCAAGGAGGTCTGCCTTCTCTGCCATGGCACCCGCCTTATGGAACATCCTCCATCCCACCCCACCCCAAGTGAGGTCAGTTCCATCTCTCATTTTCCTGAACTCCCTCCAGACCTGGCTTTATTATCAGGGCTGGGGCAGCAGGGGACCTGTGAGATCTTAGCTCCCTTGCTAATTGGTCTGCTCGTTGGGTCTTCTTCCCCAAAGCAGCAGAAAAGGAGGGCTGGCAGTACAATTAACAAATGCATTGTTTCATGTTTTGTATGGTATAAGGAGCCATCTTGGTTTTTGAAGCTAAAACTTGCCATTTAAATTCAAACATTGGGTGAACCTGTCACAAAAGTGTTTTTTCCAAAAGGTACATGGACTGTCTTGGGTTTTTTTTTTTTTTCCATTGAAAACATTTTGCTTCTTTTCCTTTTCAGAGGAAAAAAACCAGGCAAGTCCAGTTGTCTTTTGGAAAAAGTTCCTTTGGGACAACCATGACCTGGATGATGGAGAATCTCCATGGACACCTTGGTTCCATGACATTGGCTTGCTTGTACTTCATTCCTGTGTGGCATCAACAAAAAGCATCCAAGCATCTTGGATGGAATTTGCCATCCAGATGTGGACCGGTAGAAGTAATTGCAGATGTCTACAGCCCTCTCTGCTTCTGAAACAAAGAAAGTAGGCCTGTGGCTCTTCCATAGGTAACGTGTATTTCTTTTTTTAACAGTGAGCGTTGAAAAGGTGGAATTAAAGGGATTATCACACAAGAAGAATGATAGGATTGTTGAATATTCTTTTGAGGTGAGTATCAAAGATTTACATGGAAATACAAGAGAGACGAAGGGAACAAGATGTGGAGCATTCAGAATGCTGTTTTAAGGCCTTTGGGGATGCTTTCTTTAAAATAATAGTTTGCCCTCAAAACATATTATATTCAATTTTACATTACTTCTGATTCCAAAATTATGTGTCTTGGACATTTACCACTTCATGTTGTAGGAAATAGTCGGCTTATAATTACATACAAGGGGAAAGTTAACGTGCAGCTCTTACGCCATAAGCGGTGATAAAGTAACCACGATAAAGCAGTGATACAGTCATTGTGCCCTCCTATTAAATAATATCTCCTTAAAGTTGTTGGGTATATATTTTGTGCCTTGAGGTTAATCGTACAAAAGGTAGTGAAAAGAGAAAATGGAAGATTTTGAATATCTAAATCTAAAAATAGTACAATATCACAATTCAGCTCCATTCACAGGATAGGGAAAGTACCATAATTCCTATGATCTTATTTTGATATTTTAGACTATAAAGTCCATCCCCTGAGAATCTAGCCTGAGGACGTGACATGTGCCAACTGCCCTCGCTAGTCTATGAATAAGGGAAGGTGCACAGTCTGAACTTTAACTCAGTCTATAGAAAAGTCTTTTTCCGTGAAAAAGCTGCTCCTCTTCTTGTTTGGTTTGCCATGGAGAGCAGGCTGTAAATCCTCTGGTGGCAGGCTTGCAGGAGGAAACCGATGCAGAACTTCCTGACTTCAGAAGCCCACATAAATAACATGAATATCAGGAAAGCCAACAGCAAACTGAGAGGCCAGCAAGGAGGTCAGTGTTTCAGCATGCCATTCCTGGAGACGTTATCCTAACCATGGAGTTCTGATCGGATTCTGATGGCACTTTTCTTCCTTGCAAATATGTGGAAGAAAAGCAAGCCAAGAGTCACGTAAATGAACGCATCCAGGAACGCTGTTCTTCCCCTCGCAGGCTTCATCTCTGTGTGTGTGTGTGTGTGTGTGTGTGTGTGTGTGTGTGTGTGTGTGAGAGAGAGAGAGAGAGAGAGAGAGAGAGAGAGAGAGAGAGAGAGAGAGAGCCACGAGAAGCAAAAGAAATCAACAAAGCCCCAGGAAGAATTGACGCTGCCTGCCCATTTCTGTTTTTTAGTTTAAGTTAAGCAAGGGCTGGAAAAAGGAAATTCCTGAATTGCGTAATGTATTTTGAAACTCTTTCCTCCCATCAGTGCTTTTGGCAGTATCCGCAGGGCTGGAAAAACGCAGGCATTTGGTGGCTAATGCCGTGTGGGGACTTCCTGCTCATCGCATCCCTGCTTGTTTTTAAAAAGGATAGTGGCAGTATTTCCCCACCTGTCCGCAAAGCCTCTAGAATACGTGCAAAACACACACTGGGTTTGTCTGTGTCTTGTATTATAAGTACACGTTAGTTCAGTTAATCACTCAGCTTCTATGGACTTCCACACGATGCTCTCAGATAGCTGGTTGAACCTGCAGGAAGAAGAGGATACAGATTTAGGGGGTTTGGTCCACCCTCTCAGCTCAGGAGATTGTGTCATCTCCTGATAGGAGTCTGGACCAGATGCCCTTGCCCGAGCTTTGAAAAGGACAATTGCAAATATAAGTCCTCAATGTAACATTCGCAATTCTGGGACCAGAATTTCCACTGCTAAGCAAGGCGGTTATTTTAAGTGAGTCATGCCTGATTTTATGACCTTGTTTTGCCATGGTTGTTAAGCAAATCGCTGCGGTTGTTAAGTGAATCACACGGTCATGAAGCATATCTGGTTTTGACTTTGCTTACCGGAAGACAGCTGGGAGGGTTACAGACTGCAGTCACATGAGCCCAGGATGCGGCGCTGCCATAAACACTTGCCAGTTACCAAGTGCCTAAATGTTGACCTGTGACCCTGGGGATGCGGCAGCAGCTGTAAGTGGGGACGGCTCGTACCTCACATTTTTCAGAGCCGTTATAACTTTGAACTGGCACTAAACTAATAGTTGTAAGTCAAGGAATACCAATATTGCCTGTCTTACTAGTACGAGAGCAAATATACTTCTAAAGCACACTTTATTTATTTGAAGAATAGTTCTGTCGCTCTGATCTTGCATCAGGTGTAAATATATACAAGAGAGCAACAAAGGACAATATCTTGCCCACAGTCTTTTGATTACAGTACTATACAAATTGATGAAGAAAACAAGGACATTATCATTAAAAGTTGCTGGTAGGCTAATTTTTACGGGGCTCATGTGAGAGGCCTGGCCATTGCAAGGTTTTTAGAATGAATGTTCCACATGGAATGTATTTTGTGCAGAAAAGCAGCTGCAGATTAATAAACCGAAGCCGGGTTTGCTTCACGTGGTGTTGGGATAAAGCATCACGCCAGTGGAATTGTTCGTCAGGGGTCCTCAACCTTGGCAACTTTAAGACTTGTGGACTTCAACTCCCAGAATTCCTCAGCCAGCTTTGCTTTGCTGGCTGAGGAATTCTGGGAATTGAAGTCCACAAGTTTTAAAGTTGCCAAGTTGAGACCCCTGGTTTAAGTCCACTTTGGGGGAAACATGGACCATTAATCTTCAGAAATGCGGGCAGAATTGCTCCATGGTACATGGCCCATCCCTCCATCCGTCCATTCTGAGAATGATTAAGGTGACCAAGGTTTTTTTTTTTTTTTTTTTCATTTCCTTAGGTCTTGTGGTCTGATTCCTCAGTGACGGTGGTAACAAAGTCTTCTGCCGAAGTGACTGATTTCATTTCAAAGGTAAAATGGTTTTGTACAACTGGTGTTTTTAAGGTACATTTGGAAGCATGTATACATAGTGTATCCTGCACAGCTGTTTTTTTTTAAATAGAGGAAAACTACTTTTTGCATGCTAAATGTCAGTTTCATACTGAATATTTTAAATAATTAATTCATGTGCTGCTCAATTCTGAGCAGCAGCTGACAGCAATAAAGTACAATGCCAATAATCAAAACCAACATTTTCTTTCTTAGTTAGGTCAGTTGTGTCCAGAAGAAAATTTGGAGAAATTCATTCCTTTTCTAGCTGGTCCAGATTCATTTTACTTAGAAAGAAGCCATATGGACTTGGAATCAGACCTTAGGTATACTTTGAATTTGTTTCTGAAATTTGTCCGTGTGCGGGTGTGTGACTTTCAGTTATTATTTTATTGTTCGGTTAATGAATGTAACTATCTAATAAAGTAATAACTCTTACTTAATAACCACAGTTAGTTGCCATAGCTCAGACATGTCAAACAAAAGGCCCGGGGGCTGGATGCGGCCTGCAAAGTGGTTTCATGTGGCCCGTGAAGCCATCCTGGAAACAGTGAGGGAACGGCCCCTGCTGCCTTAGCCCTGGCCCAGGCCGGCCGGGAGCCAATGTACAATTTTGTGGTGGCCACCTATGCTGAAATGCATTCAGTCTTAGCTCCATAAGGCCGTCCATAAACAGCGAGGAACCAGCCCCTGCCGTGTCGGCCCCGCCCCCTGGGTGCATGCTGGGGAGGTGTCACCCTTTGTGAGGAATGAAGAAATGGACCATGCCTTGGCACTTGCCCCGGTCCCACCCCCTTCTGCCAGAGACCCCCAGATCTATCCCACTCCTGCCCAGGCCCCCACAGGCACCCTTGACGTGAACGATGTAGAGCTGGCCATGCCTACACAGTAAGCCACACCCACTCCATCCACGCCCACCCAGTAGGCTGCACCCACTCTGGCCACACCCACCCGCCCCCCCCCCCGAGGGCAACCGCAATGCTGATGTGGCCCTCAGTGAAATTGAGTTTGACACCCTTGCCATAGCTTCATCCCTTGTTTTGGTTGCAGTTATTTAGTATAGTTACTTAGCACAGATTATGAAACTCTGCTCAGATTCTCATATGGCCCATCTATCTTCTGTCTCTCACACCCTGCTTTCATTAGCAGTGCCTGGTTCTGTTATTCTGTACTGCAGAGTCCTCACACAATTCTACTCAGTAGGAATTCATGCAGTCCCTTTGGGGGACCTGGAGGGGGGAGTTGGTTCCTTCGAAGTGCATAATTTTGGGCCCAGATCCATCTTCCTAATTAGCACTGCACAGGATCAGGTTTAATAGGTCTTTTCTTTGAGAGGCCTACCATTGTTTTAATTGCAGTTGCTTTGGCGAAATTACAAAAATACATGCACTCTAGGGTTATGTGAGAAGTTTCCCAGATAAAGCAAGCTTTGAAGAAGGAATAAAAGTAAGAAAAACAGCTTGGAGGGACAACTTCAGATGGAAAGAGGAAAAAAAAAAGTGGGTTATTTCAAGAAACAAGAAGGCTTTGAGATGATTGAAGCTGATAAGAGCCAGACAAGTGAGAATCACAGGATCAATCACTCTGAAGTGTTTTATTTATTTAATTAATCCACTGCAAGGTATGTGTGGCTCCCATCTAAAGAGGCCTCTGATTTTTTAGCAGAGTTTGAGAAGCTTGTACTAGATTTGGGAACGAACAGGAAGCTCTTGCAAAGAACTTAAAAAGAGATATTGTGTGGGTAGAGTAATGAGAAAAATGAATAACTTTGGCAGAAAAAAATAAATCCAGCTGCATCTGGTAAGGCAAATCTGCTTAAAAAAATAATAGGGCATCAGCGGAAAGCCAGAGTCAAAACTGTTGAAACTCCTGTTTGGTTGGTAGAAGCAATTAATTAAATTATGCGAGCAGAGTTGTTTGCTTACAAGAAATATAATGGGCAAGAAGATTCTAGTCTAGTCCTTGGTTTATGACCACAATCGGGAGTGGAACCTCTGTCCCTAAGTTATACTGTTCAGCCAGTCATGGGTTGTTAAGAGATTCTGGCTTCACCTGCCGACACTCTTAACAGTTCCAAGTGTGAGGATCAGCTATAGGTCATTTTTTTTTCAACGCTGTTGTAACGGTCATTAAACAAATGGTCATAAGTCAAGGTCTACCTGTAATTCTAAATTGATTGTCTCGGCAGATTTAACTCACACACAGGGAGGATCGTGGCTGTCTCACGACTTCGGTACTTCATATATTTGTAATTTCCTAATGAGTTATTTTTGACAGCTCTGCTGCCTTAGTTTTGTTTTGCCTGAAGCTAAGAAAACATTATATTCCACAATAATTTTGCAGGTATTTGGCATCATTACCGTCCCATGTCTGGAAAAATGACCACGTCAAGAAATTTTTCAGCACTTCATGTCACTCCCCACAATTTCACGGTTCAAGTGAGTTTAAAGAGCAAGCGCCACCTCAACCTTCTCCCAAAATATATGTATATATATAAAAAAAGATTTAGCCAAATAACTCTCTAAATACTGTGATGTCCTTGTTTTTAGGTACCGGCAATTCTTCCCATTACAAAGTGGGTACGACGCTGGGTGCTTCTGGAAGGTGAGATGAATTTAGGGAGCAGGTGTAATACAGAAAAACCAAAATGAGGGGAGATGGCTTTGGTTAATTCCCAGGCAGGCTTCTCGTTTTCGTGAATTCCATGCTGTATTCCTATGAGTTCTTCCTCTTGCTCACGTTACAAGGCTCCCTCCCTGCCCTGCTGAGGCATTTTCATTTTTGCTGGCATTTGTTCCAGTTTTCAGCAAAAATCCCCACACTCTTTAGCGAGCAATGGATTCGCTTAACAACCACATCATTCAGGACTCATGACAGTCGTAAACCGTTGCAAAAAAGGTCATAAAATCGGGTTCAGTCATGTCACCCGCTTTACGACTGTCATGACTCATGGCAGTAATTGTGGGGGCTCGATTACAGTCATAACTCGAGGACTGCCTGTGTTTCCCTTACTTCCTAGAGAATGATTCATTCCTGTTTGGCTTTCCTGCTCTCTTACAGGCCCATCTGTGGGGTTGCAGGTGTCCAGGCCACACAGAACAGTCTTCAGCACCACCTGCCCCACGCGGCCGCCACAGCCGTTGCCCTCTCCCACTGCTCTCATTCAGGCGGGACCGGACCCACATTAGCATGTAGCCGCACCCAGGTAGAAAACTCTTCCCCCGTTTTAATGACTCCGAGCTCACAAAACCCACAGGCCCAGGAGCAAAATGGAATTTTAGATTGGCTGCGAAAACTCCGGTTGCACAAGTACTATCCGGTTTTTGAACAGTTGACAATGGAGAAGGTAAGATGCAGGCCTCACCAGAAGAATGTAGTGTTTTTTCTATTTCTATTTTTACCTTCCCTTCCTTTCTCTTTCTCTTTCCCTTTCTCTGCCCTATTCAGTTTCACAGTTCACAAATTGTATTTCTAGCGAACAGAATCTCTCAATAATCTGGGAAAGAGCTGCGCCAGTGTAGGCTTTATTTAGAGGAATGCCTCTTTTAAAATGGTTTTTGTAGTAGGTCTTTGCAGAGGTATGTTGTAAAGCTAGGACAATCTTATTCTGGTTTAAAAATGATACTGGGATGCCCTCTGGTGGAGGTGAATTATGTCACTTAAACCTAGAGCAGCTCTGATGTGCATCTTCTAGTAGATTTTAATCTGAGTATTTTGGGATATCTTTAGCTGTACATTGAATTCAGTGCAAGGCTGAGTTTTATTATTTTAATATTTTTCTCTCTTTTATTGGGATGTATCCCAATTCATCATGCCTGCCTCAGTATTCTCAATTTGACAAATGCTTTTATGTTTAGAAAACGCGCTGATTATTTGCCTTTCTCCACAAGTTCTTGAGCCTCACCGAAGAAGATCTTAATAAGTTTGAAACACTAACCATGGGAGCAAAGAAGAAACTCAAGACCCAGCTGGAACTGGAAAAGTAAGTATCGGCCTGCAGAAACGCAAGCAGGTTTCCCCTCAGTGTGATTTGTAACTAATTTTAAGGAAACTTGGTTTTTAAGACATCATTCCCAACAACTTAGAACTGTATTGTATGTTCTTAAAAAAGAACTGGGAAAGATTTGAGCTGAAGTCCACAAGTCTTAAAGTTGTCAAGGTTGCAGACCCCTGTCCTAGATGGAGGGGTCATTCGATTTCTGTTCCAGAATGTTCCCGTGGTCAGTATAGGTAGTCCTTAACTTATGAAGGCAGTGCTGTCACTAAGCAACACGGTTGTAAAGCATTTGTTGATGGTGATGCTGACAGTCCAGTTGCCATTGTCAAGTGAGGACATTATGTGACTGCAACTTTGGACTTCTGCCAGCTCCCCCATTGACTTAGTGGGAAGCCAGCAGGAAACCCTGGAAATCAGGGTCACAGGACTGCAGTGTCGTAATAGTGAGCCAGTCACCATGCGCCTGGGTTGGAGTCGTGTGGTGGTGGGTATAATGTACCTATAATGTTCTAGAACTAGAACCTGTCAGAGGCACCTTTTGTTCAGGATCATCACAACTTTGAGCCATCTCTGAAGGATCTATATCTGTACTAGCTCTGAAGGATCTCATAGAAAAAGCACCTGTTAATTGCTGTTGGGAAAGGGATGAGGGATGACCCATGGATGTATCTGAAAATTGTGGTCTGGCTAGAAGACACATGATGATTGTATTCAACTGTTTTCCCAACCTTTTTTTAACGGCAGAGAAAAGTCAGAGAAGCGGACCATGAACCCGGCCCCCTCCCCATCTGTGAGGTCTGGGGTGGCCAGAGTTCCTCCCACCACTCACATCAACCCCATACAGAACATTCGTGGGAACCATGCCACAGGTAAAGAGGTCCCCGTGTCAGATGAGTGGGCCTCCCCCATTAGTACCGCCTGGAGCCTTTCCTCGTCTGCCTCTTGAGGGACCAAGCTAAGACTGAGTGATCCCGAAAAGGGCTCTTGTCTTCTTTTGTCCTTCTGCTTAAATCTGTGACGTCCAAGGTTAGGCCTTTCTTTAGAAAGCAACTTCCTTAATCGCAGCCCTCGCCTTCTCGTTTCTGATAAGGATTTCTTCTTTCCTCCCTCCAGAACTCCACGTGGACGTGGATCAGACGGTCACCCCCACCCCCCGCGAAGGCAGCTCCTCAGAGTCCTCCAGCTCCTCCTCCAGCCCCATGGGGATGCAGCCCCGGGAAGAAAGCTCAGACAGCGCTGAGGAGAATGAGAGGCGTAAGGGCGTCCCCCTTCACTCTGTGGCAGCCCCTATCCCTCCTTCGGCCGGGGTGCTGCTGCAGTTGATCCCGTTTGCCTTGCAGGTGTGGAGATTCACCCGGAGCGCTCGGAGAAGGAGAAGCCGGTCATGATCCTGAATCACTTCGGCTCCAGCTCGGCCCGGCCCACGGCTCAGGTTTTGCCCGTGCAGAACGAGGCAGGGTCTAGTCCGTCCACTCACCACCCCTTGCCAGGACAGATGACAGCCACTCCGATTCGAATATTAAACTCTATGCACAAATCCGAGCGCGGAAACGCAGACCTGAAGCTCCTTTCTTCCCCTATGCACTCGCTTTTACCTTTAGAGGAGAGGACCAAGTTCTCAGCTGGGGCCGCTCAGAATAGTGTCAAGATGGAGAAGAGCTTTGGAAACACCCTGGCGGATCGGATCCCAGCGTCTCTGCATCAGCCCCTCCAAGTGTTCTCGGCTGTCCCTGAAAATGGCTCCTCCGCGCCTTCTATTCATTTCGGACCACGATCCAAATTGGTCCATGCGCCTGTGCTGGACCGAGTGGCAAAACCATCCCAGCTGCCAGGCATCCTGGTGGAAACCAGCACCACAGCCACCGTCACCTCGAGCACGGTCTTCCACATGGCCCGCCCCCCCATCAAGCTCCTAGTCTCTTCCTCCGTGCCCACTGATGCCACCCTGGCGGGGCAGCCGTCCTGCTCCAACAGTATGCAATTCAGCGTGTCTCCAGCAATAATCAGCCCTCGGACGGCTCTGTACACCGCCAACACCAAAGTGGCCTTTTCTGCCATGAGCGGCATGCCAGTGGCCCCCATGCCCAGCAGCACCTTCTGTGCGAACAGCAACCCCGCCGCGTCTTCCAGCAGCCACCTCGCCACCTCCTTCGCCAACATGGGCAGCCTGTCCAGCTGCCCCCCTCCCAGCTCCAGCCCCACGCTGTCCTCAGCTGCGGAGAACAGCTTCTATGGCGGGGGTGGCTCCGCAGGGAACATGCCCGTCCCTAACCAGAACAACCAGCACCACCATCACCACCACCAGCAGCAGCCGCCTGGCTGCATGGTCTGCAGTTCCTGCGGCTGCAGCGGGAACTGCGGCTCCAGTGGCATGACTGTGAGCTACACAAACTACTTCCAGCACCCCTTTTCAGGGCCGTCGATGTTTACGTTCCCCTTCCTGCCCTTCAGCCCTCTGTGCAGCAACGGCTACGTCAACACCCAGCAGTACAACAGCAGCTCGGCCTTCCCCATGGTCCACTCTCCGTACAGCGGCGGCCCCACGCCGGACTCCCTCATGAGCGGACAATCCGCCTTTGCGGTGCCCCCCATGCAAAGCTTCATGACCGGCACCGCAGGGGTGTACCAAGCCCAGGGGATGGTGAACCACGGCGGGGGCTCAGGACAAAAGAAGCCTGGGAACCTCTCCTGCTACAACTGTGGAGCCAGCGGCCACCGAGCTCAGGACTGCAAGCAGCCCCCGATGGATTTCAATCGACAAGGTGAGGAGGGTCGGGGCTTGTTGGAGGTGGTTAGCCCCCCCCCCCAAAAGGCAGTCAGGGACTGTGGTTCTGGGCACCAGGAGAGACAACAAACCTTGTTGAAAATGCAAGTGTGAATTTGCCATTCTTGGCCAGGTTTGACCCAGTCCCCGAATGGCCCTAGTAGAAGCACCAGTCTGTGGTTGTGAAGGACACCGGCTGGGGTGCAGAAGGCCCGGGTGCAAGTCCCCCGCTCTCTGCCCTGTCTACTTTAGAAAGTTATGAGGACGAGAAGAAAGGCAGAGTATAAAAAACGAATTGTTTTTTGAGTATTCTGTAGTGCGGGAGAAGCTGAAGTAATGAAGGTTTCTCTTAGCCTGAGGAGGCCGAGACGGGAAGGCAGCCAGGGTAGCTCCCGAGGTGTCTCGGCTGCCCATAAGGTGAACCCCTGCTTGTGGTCCTTGATTTACGGCCAGTTGCTTAGCGGCCGCTTGAAGTTGCAGCGGCACTGAAAGAAGTGACTCCCACTCAGCGTAGCCTCGCCATGGTCTTGGGATCGAAATTTGGATGCTTGGCAGCCAGCATGTATTTACGGTTGGGTGTGTGTGTGTGGCTTCCCAGGGTCACGTGATCACCACTTGCGATCTTCCAGTGGGGGAAGCCGGATTTGCTTAATGAAGGCATGCCTCACTTAACGACTGCAGGGATTCTCTTAAGTAAAAAGTTGTAGAACTGGGCACGACTCACTTAACAGCTTCCTTGCTCCCAGTTGTGGTTGCAAGTTGAGGATTACCTGTATTGTGTCCCCAATTATCTGAGAATCTACGGATCTGAATTGGGATTCCTACAATCCGGATTGTAAAACGTGCTAATTTAACATTCCTTCTTTTTCCTTCAGGTACATTTCGGTTAAAATACGCTCCCCCGGCTGAGAGTTTAGAGTCCACAGACTGACCTTAACTTCAGATGCAATATTTTGTGATGGCAACAAGGCCATGAAATAATTAGGAAACTTCAGATTGGAACATAGGGAGTCTATCTGTTGAGCTTAATTAATGTTATTTTTTTAATCCAAAGGTGCTCTACTTCAACCCTAGGAAGGAACTGAAACTTTGGGGGTCGTTGGGGGGGGGGCTTCGAAGCCCTTTTTTTTTTTTTATTCCTGAAATTGCCAAAACGATAACAGATGTTGGATCTCCCGAAGATGGGCGAGACTGGCCAACTGTCTTTTCTGTTGTATAGAAACTGCTGCACTTTTGCCGAAGAATGTTGCCATAATTTCACCTTCCATGCTGAAAAATTAAACTCCTGGGCAGCTACGTTATAATCTGGAGTTGGAGTGAGAGCTGAAGGCCAGTGGGGCAGACGCTGCCATTCGCCTGCTGGACTCAACCTCGGAAGCTAGAGAAACATCTCTCCTTTTTTTCCCCCTCTCAAAATAAATCAGGCACTACACTCTGGGATTTTAAAGGGTTGCACTAGAGAAGAATGTATAATTCTGTTCTGACTATCTGCACTTCTAGCAAACTGAGGTCAGGGGAAGAGAGGTTGGGAACAGGCACCAGCAGGCTACGTGGGTCTTCTAATAAAGGAAAAAAACTTAACCCTCTTTTTCTTCCCAAAGAACAGAGATGAATGCTTCATTCTGGAAACAGTTACACCACGTTGGTCAGCAACTACTCTTAACGTAAGACTAAGTTACCAGCGGTGGATTAAACTTAGTCTCCAAGGGTCTAGTGCCAGAGACTCGGTGGTGTGTTTTTTTTAAAAAAAAAAAATCTCTTCTACGACTTAAGGAAGTGTTAACAGTTCAGCGGTTTCTGCCATAGGAAATGGTGTTCTGCATCTGTAATAAATTTTAAAATTTAGACTCTTCCAGGAATTTGTTGGGTTTAGAAGGCACAGCGTCAAATACAGTACAGTAGCATACCGTTTCATTACTTAGGAAGGTTTGTAGTTTGCCTATTTCATTTGATATGAGCTATAAAAAATTTAGCTTTGGTAGCTATGTAGCAGCCAGTAGCGCTTATCCAAAGGGGTTGAAACAATGTGGATTTACCTGTCAAAGGGAGGCAACGGTTTTTAAAAATTCATTTTCCCAGCGGTACACCTTGCTTCATCATCTGGGCTGCCTCAATTCATAGTCATGTAGGACGGGATTGGCTGGCTCTCCCCATTTTTTTAATGGGCTGTTTTGTAGTAGAAGAGAGCTCCCCTCTGAACTGTAGGAGTAGCAGTGCCAATAATTTCCCTCTGCTTTCCACAAAGCAGCGGCGAGTTCCATTCCTGAGCTGGTCTGTTGCCTTGGACACTGATATTCTAGCAGGCCTGCATCTGACATCCGTTATTTCTATGCAATGGAGTATTCCATTTCCATCTCCTCACTTCGGCTTCACCAAAACAGGGTTAGATGGGTGTGAGACAGACTTTAGTTGAACTTTATTCGCTCCAAACTCGGGGGTAATAATGTGGTTGCTGTTAAAATCAGTCTGCCAAGATCATAATGTGTAAAACCCATTTTAGTGCCCTGAATGATTGAGGCTGCTGTTATACATGGTTACTGTTAGGAAAATCAAAAAACTATATTCAAAGTGGATGGGAACTCAGCAATTTACGTGGCCTTAATGATCTTGCCATGAGTAGAAACATCCTGCCGTGGTTATTACATCTTTCAGTTCATGTTTATTCTTAAAGATGAAAATACTTTTAGTAGTCTGAAATATACGCTAAGAGCCAAATGTCCATTAAAAAAAAAAAAGGAATCCTACCATCCCACAAGCTTAGCAGAATAAAAATCTGATTGGTTTTCTTAATTGGGAAGCCTCTAGAACAGTGTTTCTCAACCTTGACCATTTTAAGGCATGTGGACTTCAACTCCCAGAATTCCACAGCCAGCATTGCTGGCTGTGGAATTCTGGGAGTTGAAGTCCACATGCCTTAAAATGGTCAAGGTTGAGAAACACTGCTCTAGAAACTTGCCTGTTACACCTGTGCAATTAAAAAAAGTGATTTTCTTTCCCATGGAAAAAAAAACACTCGCTCAGCCCTCCAACTTTCAGAGAGAACCACTTTGATGATAGCAGAGAAAATGCAGCAGAATCCCCAGAAGAAAACCTGATCAGACTTTGTTTTGCCTCCGAAAGTATTAGGTTTGCCTTACAGCTCTCCATTCATATTCTCCACTACTCAGAAGTGGTTGGCAGTGTTTCACATAGGAGGAAATGCCCATGCAGGCCTCACGTGAAAGAACAATTAAACACTTTCTTAGAACATACTAACTGCGTGCCTCAGTTTGGTTGCAATTTTGCACTGAAGGACTTGAAGGAATGTGACTCAATTCATGTTAAAAAACAAAACAAAAAAAACAGCACATAATGCAGGATTGGCCAAAATCCTGGCCTAGAGGGGATGAAGCATTTCCTTGCTAAAAAAAATCAGACTCTCTGCATTGAAGGAAGATTATTTTCACTGACTGTACTGTAGGATGTTTGCCAGGTATGGGAGTTAATGAACGAGAACCTAATGGAATACTACAAGACTAAACTAGCACCTGATTAAGAGAGCAGCTTTCTAATTTTGTTAAAAATGATGCCTTCCATATTGTCCTGAAATAAACACTCTTGAGACACCTAGAGGAAACGCTCTCCCAGATACACTTCATTTTAAGGCTGAAATGACCCTAAAATGATTAGATTCCTTATGCTAGCCAAAGGTGCTCTTGTTGCAGACAAGTAGACACACTCTTATTAACAGGCTCTACCTGGAAGCAGAAATTAAAGTTGGCAGAGCAATTCAGAAAGCTACCACTATCCACATCTTCCTTTGGAACTCTCTCCGTAAACTGAATTCTGTTAATAAACATTTATGTCCCCAAATGGCAGGTTAACATGTTTTCCAGTTATAACTTTCCGTTTGGAGCAAAAGGGATGCCTTTTGCCCGTTTCGAGCCATTTCTTTTACTCCTAGTATTACAAAATGTGCACGAAACTTTATATAAATATCAAAAGTTTTGTAAATATTTAATATTTACCTAATATGATTTTGAACTGTAAATGTCAAGTATTCTGGTATTGGGATTTTTATGTTTACTATACTTTGTTAAAGGTAAAATTGTACATTTTTAGAATGTTTTTATCTGAGTAAATTTAATGTACTGAAAAATAAATAAATAAAAGACCACATTGTCTTTCCAGTTATCCTTGTTGATGGTTTGAAATTGCACAGAAGACATTACATTTTTACAACGAGATCTCACAGTGACAATTTTGAAAGCAAACCCTGAACAGGTGAAATCCCAAACTACAAGCTGGCTAGCACGCCGAGCTCTTGCAGCGGATTGAGATTCAGCCTAGTTTCATCTTGCTGGAAGAGAGCTCTCTACAACACCATCCTACCTGCACATTCATAAATAACAGTAAATTTACATTTCTGAAGAATCCAAATGGATATCTGAAATACTTCTGCACAGGACTCACAACAAAATGAAAATTCAGTCAACATGCAGCAGATACAAAGTTGTAGCAATCGAATCCACACGCACTCTTGTCATTTTAGATACAGTCTAGACTTTAATAAAGTGAAATTATGTTCAGTGTGAAATTAAAAAGGAAGGAAGCCAAAGGTTTTCAGTACGGATGCAACGCAGATTCAGTCTTTGTTCCACCTGTTCCAGTTCAAGAACTAGGCGGGTGAAAAGATGAAGACACCCAAAGGTGATGGCTAAAAGGCTGGCCTTTGCCCGCACCTGATCTGACCACTTGCTTGTTATTACCATTTGAAGGATAAAGGGAAGCCCTCTTTTTGGAGGGCGAGATGGGCGGATTTGATTAAAAGAAGAAAAAAAGATGCAGGACAGAATACAAATATATTGGAGTAACGTTCTTAACTATTAAGTACATAACCCAATTTTTAAAATACACACTTCCTAAACTAAAGCTATGCTTGGTATATAGTTATAATTAGCAATCTGGTGTTTTGCTGGTATTGTCTAAAGTAGCAATACCAGGGAACTAACCTTTTTCTCTCCCCCCCCCCCCCACGTGCACTGATTTTCCAAACACCAAGAAAATGAAAGAGGCAGATTTTTAACTCCTGCCTTTGAGGAGAAGCAGTTTTTAGGAGCTGAAATATAAATTAACAGGATATATCACACAGACGTATTTCAGTTGGCTATTTAACATTTACCCCAGTTCCCGTGACTTGAGTAAGACCATTTTTATTATTATTACTATTGTCAACATGCACGTTAGGGTCTTGCTCCAATTCCAGAGGCTTTTAAAAAGCAAGTATGCCTGTGCAAATGTATAGCGGGTCTACAAAGCTGGGCTGCTTGTCCAATACTGGCGCTCATCTGTTAAATATTTACAAACAAAAGGAAGGGACGTTAAGAACATCCCGCAAAGCACAACTACTCTGAGCAGATCAGTGGCGCGACATCCCTTTCTTTTTTCTGGGCAAAGGGGCGGGGGGATAAAAACTAGGCTAGGCTACAAGCCGGGGGGGGGGGGCAAAGGTTTACATGGAGGATTTCATGCCAAACGTTTCCTGAGAGGCGTACACCATATACAAGAATCCGTCTTCATCCTTTTCACTTTCGTACACCTCCGAAATGGATGTGGAGACGCTCACCATGCTGTGTCCGTTCACCAGTAAGAAGAAAGCTTGATTGGAATTCAGCTGCAGCCGCCGTCTGGAAGGGAAAAGGAAGCCGCTCAGGAAAGGTGTGCAAGAAACAGCAGCACCAGTGCTCGGCTCAGCAGGTCGACTGCAGGACTCCCGGCCTCGGGAACTCCCAAAGGGATGACAGTCTCCTCCTCTTCATCGCCTCCAGAAATGATCCCAACTGAGCTGATCTTCCCAAGCATTTCTCAGCCTCTCCCTTCTGTGCAGACCTCCAGGGACTGGATACTGCCACCGCAGCCAGGCTCACAAAGGCCGTTCATAGATTTTGAAGGGGCTGACAAAACGGAATCCTCCCCCCTCCCCCCGTCAATGCATTGAATGGACCCTGGGATTCTTTTCCAGGTCCCACCTAGTTTGCTCAGGTTGGAATAGACCCACCCTTCTCGATACCAACTAGCAGTGGTCTAGGCAGATGTTATTTAGTTCATGGCTGTCCCTAAAGTACTGATTCAGTCAGAACTGAAGCAGCTCCTTGGATGAGAAGCAAAAAGTTTTCAAGGAAAAAGCAAGCAAGTCCAGTTGCCTTTTGGAAAAGCACCTTTGGGACAACCAGCAGTTTTCGGCCAGCAAAGCCCAACAGCACCTGCCCCTCTTCAGCTTTACCCCTGAGTAAGCAGAGGATTGGCTGCATTTTAAGATCTGGGTTTTGCCACAAGTCAGCTGACCCTGGTGGAATCCTGGCTGAGTTATCCATTATAGTAGCTTGTCTCGGCTTAGGCGCTCCCCTAATGTTGCAGAACAACAATTCCTAGAGTTCTTAGCCAACAGAGTCCCAATAAAAACTGGGGGCCTCTTGTTTCTTAGGTATCACAAAAAGTGAATTTGCATGCAAATGATTACAGGTTAAATACCTGATTATCTTGATAAGCTCACTCATGTTGACATGATCTGGGACCAGAAACTTTGTTTTGTCCAGAACGGGAAGCTGCTTCTCTCCTTTATATCTTTCGATAATTACCTGGAAAAGGTGCCAAGAATAAAAGCAAACGTTGGAATGTGACAGACGGTGCAACTTTAAATTCACCTTTTATGGCTGGATTGGCACAAAATGGAACTGTTTTTCTAATCCATGCTTATTGGTATTACAAGTGCAGGGTTCATATTGTTACCTGTGATTTCTACTTAGCAGTATTTAAAACCAACACTTTGAACAACAGAAAGGGTGTGCTGATATTTGTGGATCTAGTTGCCTTTCTTTTAATTAAAACCCTGCTGAAGTGTGTCCAGAATTATCATGATACATTTAAAACAAGAGAAGATAGAGGAGAAGTAACAAAAATGAGGTTTTAAATAAAAGGCACTACAGATCATCATCATCAATCCAACATTTGCCCAGATATTATCTCTGCTCTTTTGAGGCCACTGACGAAATAATGCCGTTTGTAAATATGGCCCAGAAGAAAAATGTTTAACCTAAAGAGTAACTGCATTTGTTTTCTAAGGGTATTGATTAGCCAAGCACAGTACAATCCTAGGCATGCCCACACAGTATAAATTATACATTTCAATGAGATTGGCTCCCAGACAAAGTCTATGCAGAAAGATCAGCTCAAAAGAGTTCTATCATTTGCATTTTTTACCAATTTTTACATGCTCTGAAAAATCAATCTGAACGCTATTACAGAACAATGCTTAATCCTTACAGCCTGATACAGTATAACCTGGCTCTTTGTTAAGCAAAAGAGGGGATACCTTGACAGTTTTTGTCATTGAGAAAGAGAGAAGTGCCATTGAAAGCGATTATGCAAGCCTATTTAAAGCAGAACTGCTGCCATTACTTAAGACAGGCCAGTGTTGACTTGACTAAAGAGATCATATGACAGGTATAAAAATGGAACTGGATGTAACTGCTTGTCCCATTGTTAGTTCTTTTTGGAAAGAAAACAAAAAGGAGTACTTGGGCTTCAAACCTAAAAACTAATGTTCTTCAAAGTAACAGATTTCATAGTTTCAATACAAAGGGCTGTGTGTTTAGAAATTAAACCGAATTAGAGAATTTTCTGCTACATTTGGCACTGAAAAAAAAGAAAAAAATGTAAATATTAATTTTAATATTGGCTGATGATAATATCTATCTTGATTTTAATTTTGGCTGATGATAATATCTATCTTGAGTTTTACCAGGCCTTGATTTTTCTTTTCTTGTACTAATTTTCATCTATATTTTTTTCCTGTTTGATGTTGCAAACTGCCCAGGATCCCCGCAGATGCGGTGGATTAGAAATACTGTATTACAACATTTATGAACAAATCAATTACGTAAGTTAACAAAGAAAATGAACAAATGCACGGTAATTCCTTAATTATTTACTGCTTTATTTGATGGAAATTACTCCCTCATCCAACTCCAGACACTCTTGATATCATGTCTTCAGTTAGCAAAGACCACAAATTCTGCTAGGTTACTTTTATGATGGAGAGGTAAATAAATTTTAAAAATTGCCAAGGATCATCTCAGCAGCTACATTCAATGGCCTTTCAGGAGTCTGTTCCATTCAGTTGACCCGATTTCCTTCCTTGAAACTGCAAACAGATCAGGGGCAAAAGATTCCTCTGGCTGGTCCACATGACCCCCTTAACCAGATGGGGGGGAGGGGTAACATGTGCAGGCAGCCTAGTCAGCCATTGATCTGGACAATCCAGAGGGAAGGGCAGGAAGGGGGTGGGGGGTAAGGCCCCTAGCTGGTCTACAATGCTGACAATGCCAGTCAGGCTATTCTGAATTTTGCTCCTTGCTCTGATGGGAGAATATGACTGGAAAAAGATGGTTTCATATCTTTTGCAGTGAGCAGAACTTAAAAAACTGCACACTTCCTGCAATGGAATTTGCCCAAGAATTACACAAGCATCTAACAGAGCAAAATCAGGCAAACAGTCACATTGCACCTTCCCTGGGCCTATCATTGGACCAGAGGATGGAAATCCCCTTTTTTCTTTCTTCTAATCCAGTTTTGTCATTTTAACATTGTGGTGGTGGTGGTAGTGGGTTCCTTCCATGTAAATGTTCTTAACAAAGCCCATCACATGCTCTTTAAAGCAGCGGTTCTCAACCTGTAGGTCGGGACCCCATTTGGGGTTGAACAACCATTTCACGGGGGTCGCCTAACAATGCAGTCTGCCATTTTTTCCCCCTTTTCCTTAGCTGTGCTACTCCCCTTTATTCTATTGGCTTTTGAAAGCCAATAGAATAGACTCTCGTGAATAGAGTCTAATTCTATTGGCTTTCAAAAGCCAATAGGAATTGTCCAGGCTGTCTTTGCCCTGCTGAGCCCGCCAAAAGTCCCATTCTGCAAATGATGCTGCTGAGTAATCCTTGACTTACGACCGGTTGGGGGTCGTGGCATTAAAAAGGTTGAGAACCACTGCTTTAAAGCAACGGCATCTTTCCTTAGAACAGGCTCAGGACAAGAGTGATACAAGGTCAGGAGCCCTCTGGGAGGTGGCTGACCTCTATTCTAGGTACACAATCCTACACCACGGAAGGGTGTGCAGGTTTACCCTAGAAAGAGGCAATCAATTCAGAGAATATCCTTAATTCCAATGCCCCCCCCCCCGATCTGCCCAAGCCCCTCTTGGGACAGGGGCTGCAAAAGGCTGAAGTCAACAAAAGCAGATGGGGTTCCAAGGTGTTTGAGAAATCCTTGTGAACAGAACTATTCTTGGGCTTCGGATTCAGTGCCCAAGAATACCCGAGGTTTTTAAAAACAGATTGGATAACCATTAGTCTGAAATGGTATAGGGCTTCCTGCCTGAGCAGGGGGTTGGACTAGAAGACCTCCAAGGTCCCTTCCAACTCTGTTGTTCTGTTATTGCTCTGCCTGATCTGTCCAGCTCTATCACTATTTCCTTATTTCCTACACAAGCTCACAAAGTTTTGGAAGTCTTCTGTATTTCCTTCCCAGGGAACAGACCTTTGGGAATGGTATTATTGAGAAGGGCTACCGGTTATCAATATAGGCACCATTTCTTTCTTCGACGTCTAATATGGCTTCATTCATTTGGATGAATTTATTATTATTTGTAGTAATGATTCTGTTGCTGTCTTGCAATGCTTCAACAGAAGTATACTTTTGGTCCCTTTGCGGCATGCAATCTTGAGTTTTCACTCGAGGTCCACAGAAATATTATCAAGAACATCTTAACGAATTAGCGAAAGGGAGCTTCAAACTGCATTGGAGGAACGAATTCTTCTCTTGCTCTAGATCTTCCTCTCTCAAAATAAATCGGAAGCTTGTGAATCCAGTTCTCCCTGTTATTTCAATCTATTTCCTTTCTCCAGTCAGTTACATATTAAAAGAAAAGCCAGCTGCAATCAGAAATTGAGCTCTGGAGCAAAACAAATGTGTAAACAACACAGGGCAAAGTATCTTTCATTAATTATGACTACAACATCAAACTGTTTAACCCTTTAGACCCTCTGCCCTCAGATACTGTTGATACTGTTAACCAAGTCTCACCATTAGAGGGACCAGTTTGAAGCCAACTCACCGGTATCTTTGTTGGATGCTGTTCACGAATAAGTCTGACATCTTCTACTCTTTGTTCTAAAAGGGGAAAAAGTAAAGTTATTGCTAAATTCTATCCTACAAAAAAAACCTATTTAAGCTTGTTTAAAATCAGCTTTAACGAAGTATAATATGAACCCCTTCAAAAAATACAAAGGTAGCCAGTGGTTATTTCTACTGCTACGGCCTAGACGAGGTTCTACATAAGATTTGCTTTGTAAAGGAAAACAAACAGCAAATGTGACCTTTACTTTCATTTTCAGCAGCACAAAAACAAAACAAAGTCCCACTTCTTCTTCCGCCTTACCAGAGGAGCAGGAAAACCAGTTTAGGCAGAACAAAAACAGAATCAACCACACAAAACACAGAAAGAGAGAGAAAGAAAGAAAATCACATTTAAGTCTGAATTATTCCATTTAACAGCTGAACTTAAAACTCCAATAGAAAACAAACCAATTCACAAGTCTTGCAAGAGCAGATATTTCTTTTTCCCCTCCCAATCATAAAACCTATTTTTATTTGCCGGGAGGAGGGAAATGCTCAATATTTTCTTCTGCTTTTCTACCTCTGGTCTGTCGGAAGTCACCTGCCCCTGAGTATTGCAGTCAGCCATGCAATTAGTGAAATAATCACCTGTGATTCAGCCTTTCCACAACCACAACTAACCCGGTTGTTCGGAGGTGCCCATCAGGTCGTCTTACTAGACACCTGAAGAAAGGATTCACATTTTGCTGCAGGAACCCTGGCAATGCCCAGGACACAGGCGATTCCCTGGGGAGCTGCAGGACTATTTCTCCCCTCCAGTTGCAGAGGAAGCCCCCGTGCAGCCCCTGCTACCCATCACATAACCGCCCCAGGACCCAGATCACCCGGCCTGACCCGCTCAGCCTCCTAACCTTGACCGGCACTTGCAACCAGGCGCCCTCCAGGCTCCCAGGGAAGGTGTGCCTGCCAGCCAGCCCACGATGCCCGCCTGCCAGGCGGAAGTGACGGGCGCCAGGCCTGTTTACGCCTGGATTCCAAGGAGCCGCACAAGCAGCCCTTGCACTGACAGGTTGCCCAGCTCCAGGCGGGGGAGGGGGGAGGGGGATCCCCATGGGGAGGCATCCCTGGGCACTGGGGGGTCTTGGGGGAGGGGCTGGAGTGCTCAATATTCTCAGGGGGCAGCGGGGGGGGGCTTCCTGGAGAAAAGGGCTGGGGTCGTTGGGCGGGGGCTTCTTTGATCCCCAGGGTGGGGATCCTTCCTCCCCCGAGGCTCCTCCGTCCTTCCTAGCGGGGGGGGGACTCCCAGGCAAGGAGGGAGGGGGAAAGGCCTCTCTCTCTCTCTGCCCCTCCTCCGTCCCGGCCTCCTCCGCAGGGCTGTTGTGTGGGACCAAGGGACTGCGGCCAAAGGGAAGCGGGACCCAAGCTCTGAGTCAGGCTCCCTCCCCACTCCTCCTCCCCCCCCCTCCCGTCTTCCTCGGGGAAGACTCCAACTCCCATCGCCCGCAGCCCACGCGGGCGGGGGGAAAGGCCTCTGCCGGCCTCCGCGGCGCCCCCAGCCCGTCTGTCCCCGGGCCCACCGAAGGTGCGTCGCTGCTTGAAGCTCTTCTCCGAGGGCATCGCGGCGGCGGCGGCGGCGGCGGCGGCGTCTCTGCGACCTCCTCAGCAGCGCCCGGCCTCCTCCACCTCCCTCCTCCTCCCCCCCGCCCTCCCGCGGTCAGCTGACCCGCCCCGCCCCGCCTCCCGGGCTCTGACGTCACAGGGAGGGAGGAAGGAAGCGGCAGAAGGGTAGGCCGCGCCGCCGCCTGGGCTCCAGCTGCGCCTGCGCGATCGGCGCTCTCCGGCGAAGAGGTGGACGCCTGCGCGCTTGCGCAGGTCGGGCACAAACTTCTCCCCTCCCGGCGCCGCGGTTACCATGGCGACCCAGCCCTGTCGTCCTGCCAGAGTTTGGGGATCACAACTCCCATCGGTCTCATCCAGCTAAGCCTGATGCCCTCCCATCCTCTCCAGCTCCTAGGCTGTTGGTCACCGCCAGAAATGTTAAGTTCCAAGATCCTGGACTACAACTCCCATCGTTCTTACTGACATGCAGCGCCCTTCTGCACACTCCCCTTCTCTGCCTTGAAGAGGCCTGAGCTACAGAGCCCATCGTCCTCACCCTCATCTAACCTGCTCCTTGAGCTGTGCTGCAGATGCATTTGGCAGCTGGAAGATTCACTCCTCAGACTTATTTGTGGCCCATTTTGCTTGGAAGTTATTTATTTCGTTCAGAGCTTCTCAGTTCTGGCTGCTGAAAGCCCATCTGGGGTGCCCCGGCGTCCATCTGCCACCCCACTGGGGATCCCTAGGGCTGCTGCCATGCTCAGGTTTAGCAGGACTTGCACTCGGAGCCAGAGGCCTCCATGACAGGATCTTCATTCCTGGTTACTGGAGGATTTCCTGTGCTGCATAATGCTCCATCCTTGCAATTGACAGGCTTGTCATCCGCTTCATCATCCACGGGACTTGCAGATCCTCGTTGCAAGGAATGGCCTGGGGGAAACATACCAGGGCCTTCCCAGAGAGAGTCAAAACCCATCCTTCAAGCCCCTTCGGAGCAATGGGACAGCTGCCAAGGGACAGGTTGCTACAGGCCCCGAATGTTTCTAGTCCCTCTCACAGTACACAATCCAACAAATAATGAAAGTCATAAAGCTGTTGTTGTTGGCGCAGAGACTTGAAGAGTCTTTTGGCATATTTTCTTTGCATCTGAGGAATGGAAAAGAGATGCTGAATAAAATGGATCACTCCTTAGCATCACCTCTTTAGTGAGGCTGTTTAACCAGGTTTCTACTAAGGGCATATTCCCCTGGCAGTCTCAAAGGTGATTTTTCAAGAGGCAAATGGACTTTGTTTTTCTTTGGGGCAACCATGACCTGGGTGACTGAGAATCTCCATAGACGTTCACCTGGCAGGATGATCATGGGCGTGTGAGTGAGTGTGCAAAATAAGGAAGATGACTTTGACAGATATACACAAAAACTGGAGCTGACAATAAGTGATGTCATGTATGTACTCACCACACACGTGAGATGAGTAAATTGTTCTGGATGCCTATGTCCAACAACTACAAAGCATCATATCATCACCGACCTCTCTGTCAAATTTAGCTGCTTTTGAACTAGGAAGCCTGGAGCAAATGTGTTAAACCATGAAATAGCTGGCTTCTTGGGGCTTAACATTTTGATCCTATTGGATAATCTACAATTACATATCAAATGCGCTTTATAAACTCAATTTCTTTCTCTATTAGGGCTAAAAGGCACATTTTAGATGTTCGAAACGGACGTGTGAATTTCAGAAAGATTTCATTGGGAGCTGTCCAGCAATGGTTATAAGATGGGCAGTTATAGAAATGTTTTAAATAAGTTAATTGAAGTAACTATTTGAAAGCCTGGTTTAAGAATAATTAAGGTGTGAAGCATTGGAAAATATGCTTTTAAGGATCGTTAGTATAATTTAGGATAGAAGATGCTGGATTTCCAAAGAGAATATGGAAAGCGTCTGTGATGTTAGCGTTAAATTCCACCAAGTTTCACCTTTGAGGGTTGAGAGCCCACAGCCCACCCCATGGCTGAATTTCCCAGCAAAAAAGATTGTAGCATTTTATGCTTTGCATCCTAAAATCACTTGACTGGTTTGGTGTACGTTTCTTTCTAGGGTGTGTGTGCGAGGCAAGGAGGAACTATTTGACCCCCACACAATATTTTGGACCATCCCTGAAGACCAAAGCATTTAGGTAAAACAGCAAGCCAGGTTTTGATTGTGATATCTCGGGTTTAATTGTGGTTAAACCTGAAGCATTCAGAGTCCTGTATTGCAGATGCTTTAAGCCGATAGCGATGGCTCTTTCTTGGTGGCAGTAATGTGACAGGGTGTGGTGAATTTTTAATGATGATTGATTTTTTAAAATGCATTGAGCCAGAGCAATGATGAGCAATGATGAGTCAGCTCCTTGGCTGCCTGCCTTGTGCGCGACGTCATGAGATTCAACCTGTGCGACTAAAGGAGAATATTTGTAGCTGAGGGTTGACAGGCGGGAACCTTGGTGCTCTCTGAGCTTGTTTGTTTTCTTGCAGACGTTTCATTACCCAGACTAGGTAACATCATCAGTGCTAGTCAGCGCTAAGATCACCAGCACTGATGATGATACCGAGTTGGTTAAAGAAACATCTGCAAGAAAACAAGCAAACTCAGAGAGCACCAAGGACCCCCTTGATTCAACCTGTCAACAAGCCACGTTTATGACTCCTTGGAAATAAATCCTGTTGAGTTAGTGGAATTTAATCCCAAAGCAAAAGTGCTCGGAATTGCAAAGTTGGCCATTGTCAGTGAAAACCGCACTGAATATGGGCAAAGACAAAAGAACTTACTCCTGATTAAACATGCATCGGATTCTATATTTATGTTCAGTAATTCTGGTCAGACTTTAATTGCTGCAATTGCTTTCTTTGCTGAAAAGTTGTATTGTCCTTGATTTACAACAGTTCATTTAGTGACAGTTAAAACGGCACTGAAAAAAAGCGACTTATGGCTATTTTTCACACTTAATAACTGTTTGCAGCATCCCTGTGGTCACGTGATCAGAATTAGAGGCTTGGCAACTGATTCGTGTTTACGACGGTCGCAGTTTTGATCCACCTGCTATGAACCCACAGCACAGGACCGAACCTGGCAATAGTTCTGTGCCCCACTGGAACGTTATTCAGCATAGTAGGCTGCCTTTCTAAATGAGTAAGGCATGGTTCCAGGGAAATTATTTTTCAGAATACAAAATATTGGTTAAAAACGAGACCAACATCTCTGGGACATTAAAAACAAGCCCTGGGGGACGCCTGTGGGCACCGACACGCGGTGGAAGACCCCTTGCACGGAGGCAATTTTTTAATAATAATGCAATTTTAATAATGCAATTTTTATGAGTGAAAGTGAGTTTTTTTCTCCCCCAAACGATTCCATGCCGGTTTTGGTGCAGCCCCCCCGTTGCTTTCCAGCGGCCAGACTTGGTCTGCACTTTTTTCCTCGGACTACCGGAGAAACGGGGTCGCGCGGAGCAGCGCTGGAGGGCTCCAGGACCGTTCCAGTCAGTCTCCCCCCCCCCAAAAGGAAAGGGCAGGCTCGGCCTCAAGGGGGCTCCAGAGCGAGTCTTTCACCAGGAGCCTCGTTGGCGCAGTAGGCAGCGCGTCAGTCTCATAATCTGAAGGTCGTGAGTTCGAGCCTCACACGGGGCACGCCAAGGTTTTTTATTATTTTATTTTCCCTCCCCTTGCAAAGCCGGTGGGCGGCGGCGGGGGGGCTGGGGGCTTTGCAACTCCCCAGCGGAAGACCCTTCCCGCGTGCCCAGGAGTTTTTGCGGAACAACGGCTGCCCCAAACTCAGGTTCAAGGCCCGGCAAGGGAAAGGGCAGCGGGACCGCCTCCCCCCGCGGGCAGGACGGCCCGAGGGGAGAAGGGCGCCCCTCGCGTGCCCCCCCGGGACTGGAGGCGGGGCTCCCGGTGAGCGTGGCTACCGGGCTAAGTGGGCAGGAGAAAAGCAGCAAGAAAGGAGAATCTTTGTAGCTCGCAGCTGGAATGAGGGGTCCCTGGGGCTCTCTGAGCCTGGTGGTTTTCTTGCAGACGTTTCACGAACGTCTAGGTAACATCATCAGTGCTACAAGGGAGTTGGGTTTGCAAGGAGGAGGAGGACTATGGGGTCCTTGGTAATCTCTTGAGTCTGCTTCTTTTCTTGCAGACAGGCAAGCCACCAGAATATAAATTGACAGCAAACCCCAGCCCTTAGTAGCACTGATGATGTTACCTAGTTGGGTCGTGAAACGTCTGCAAGAAGACAACCCAGCTCAGAGGGCACCAAGGACCCCACGGACCTCCCCCTCCTCCCTCTCTCCTTTCCTCCTCCTGCTCTTTCTCCTTCCTTCCTTCCTTCCTTCCTTCCTTCCTTCCTTCCTTCCTTCCTTCCTTCCTTCCTTCCTTCCTTCCTTCCTGCAAACCCCATTCCTTACTAACACTGATGATGTTACCTAGTTGGGTCGTGAAACGTCTGCAAGAAGACAACCCAGCTCAGAGGACACCAAGGACCCCACGGACCTCCCCCTCCTCCCTCTC